CGCCTAAATCGTCATCGTCATCACGAGCATCTTGCAATTCCTCCTGTGCCAGACCTTCACACGTTTCGAGGCCTCATAGGGAGCTCCACCGTAGGCCCCAATGGTAAACTTCCCATGCGGCTCCACGCCCATGTTGGTACACGAATCACTCTTACACGCTTCGTGGCCCCATCAGAGGCTCCACCGATGTCCCCAGCAACAAGGTTCGCATGCGACTCCCCGCCCATGCCTGCACGCCCCTGACACGTTCCGTTGCCCCATGAAAAGCTCCACCGATATCCCCAGTGACACAGTTTGCATACGGCGCCCCGCCCATGTCGGCACACCCCTCGAAAGTTTCTCGTGGCGCCATAGGGAGCTCCACCGCAGGCCCCAGTGTTAGTGTTAAGGTTCGAATGCGGCTCCCCGGTCGTTTCAGCACACCCTTCAACGGTGTCGTGGCCCCTTAGGAAGCTCCACCGAAGGCCCCAGTGGCAAAGGTCGCATGCGATGCCCCCCCCCCCCACCATTTCGGCACACCCCTCGAACGTTTCGTGGCCCCATAGGGAGCTCCACCAAGGCCCCAGTGGTAAATTTCGCATACGGTTCCCCGCCCATGTCGGCACACCCCTCGAACGATTCGTGACCCCACAAGGTGCTCCACCGAAGGCCAACGTGGCAAAATTCGCACGCGGTTCCCCGCCCATCTCGGCACACCCCGCACACTTACACGCTTCGTGGCCCAATAGGGGACTCCTGTTCACACCTTACACGTTTCGTGGCCTCATAGGGAGCTCAGCTGAAGGCCCCAGTGGTTAAGTTCGCAAGCGATTCCCCGCCAATTTCTGCACACAAGCCTCTGAAACTGTCTTGAAGCAGGTGGTGGTGCTTCTTGGGCTGGGTTGGAGCATGGGGAAGCCGAAAAGGCGGAATTCCCATAAAATATGGAGAACCAAAAGACAATCAATGATTTCTGCTTCTTCTGGCCGAGGAGGGGGCCGTCAATTAGTCCTCTTGGAGCGTCTGGGGCGCGGTTTGTGCCGTATGGGAGCCTTCGTGGAGCGCCTCAGGAGAGTGAAAGGCCGTCTGGAGACGAACGTGGGCGTCTTGACTAATTTTTCGGCGGCTCGGGCGTGACTCGGTGCCATGTTGGGCTGTCCTGGAAGTGTCGTGAACCGGCTTTGGGGCCTCGTGGATGCTCTGTGGGTAGCCCCTGAAACCGTCTTGAAGCGGGTGGTGGTGCTTCCAGGGCTAGTTTGGGGCCTCGGCAAGCCGAAGAGGCGGATGCCCCCCAACCCCCCCAAAAAAAACTTATGGACAACACGTCAACGTTGCCTCTTGGGACCCCCGTTGGGGGTCGTCTGGGAGCCCTCTCGGAAGCATCCGGGGAGCCTTTAGGGCCGTCTGGAAACCTTCGTGGAGCGACTTGGCAGCGTGGTGGGCCATCTGTGAGGAAACCAACAGATACCGATACCGCTACTCGACGGACCTCTCCCGGGGGGCGGTCTGACCAGGATTTCGGGGCGAGTCCCGCGGTGGCAGCACGAGGGCCGCCCGGGGAGGCCGCCAGAAGGGGAAAACGGGCGAGGAGGTGGAGGTAGAGGTACCCCAGATTTCGTAATAAAAGGGAGGGGGTCTGGACCCTCCAAGACAAGCCATTTCAGACCTCCCCCGTGGGAGAACCCTCCAAAACATCGTCCCCAGACCCCCCAGGCCCTCCAAGATAGCCTGGAAGAGACCCCCCCCCGAAATGAGACCCCCCCTCCCTTTATCACGAAATCTGGAATACCCTCTCCTCCTCCGAAGTCCGGAGACAGCCAGGACCGTGCGGGAATGGTCTGCCAGCGGCTCGGAAGCGACTCGGGGCTCTCGGGTGGCCACGGGAGCACCGCTGGCCTCCCTGGTCGCCCCATGCGCCGTCATGCCCCCCAGCACGGGGCGCCCAGGCCTCGTACACGGGGCTATGTGTATAGATGTACGTGTGTGCATGTGCATACGTGTACATGTGTGTATATATGGGTACATCTGTGATTAGAAGTGTGTGTAGATATGAAGATAGTGAGAGAGTGAGATGGAGAGGGATGGGGGAGAGAGAGAGAGAGAGAACAAAAAAGAGAAAGAGAGAGAGAGAGCGGGAGATAAAGCGAGAGTGTGACATTGAGAGAATGACAGGCCAGAAATATATACATATAGATGTGGAGAGAGAGAGAGAGAGAGACAGAGAGAGCACAGAAATTGAGAAAGAGAGAGAGAGAGACCAACGAATCCACAACTTGGGGAGAGCGAGGGAGAGAGAGAGTGAGAGAGAGAGGAAGAGACAGTGAGAGAGAGAAGGAGAGAGAGAGGGAGAGAACGGGAGAAAGAGAGACAGAGAGAGAGAGAAGGAGAGAGAGAGAGAGAGAGACGGGTCATCACCCCCCCTCCTGGCCACCCCCGATCAGTCTCCCCCTCTCCCTTCGCCGTCCTCCGCTTCCTCCCCCTCCCCCTCCTCCTCTCCCCTCCTGCCCCCCCTGATCACGACGTGCTCTTGTAGCGTCAGCCGCAGCGCCAGGCAACATTACCACAGTCCCCGCCGCTGGCACGCAGGACGGAGGGCGTGAGCTCTGACGCCCCGCTGGGGCGCGCCGCTCACTTCCCTTCCGCCACCAGGAGCGCCGCCTTATTCTCAGCCTCCTGCGCCTTCTGAGTCTTGGCCGTCTCCTTGTGTGCCCGCCTCATTGCCGTAATTGACCTTGCCTTCAGGGAGGAGCACCGCCTCCTCCTCCTCCTCCTCCTCCAGGTGATGGGGGCTTTCCTCAGGCCAGATATGTATAACGAAATGGCGTGATACTGCTCACGTACACCTGCCAAGCCTGAGGAAAAGATCGCGCAGAAGTGATGGCGCGAAGACGCGCAACTTCGGAGGGCAACGCCGGAAGATTGCACTGCCCTTCGCTGTTCCGGCCACAAGCCACGGCCGTACCATCGCTCCTGAGCAGCACGGTGTGCTCCCAGCCAGCGCTGGCCTGCACATGCTTCCGGCATGCGGGCAGCGCAGGAAGATCGCACTGCCCCTCGGCGTCGTCACCGCAGGCCACGGCCGCCCCGTCGCTCCGGACCAGCACGGTGTGCTCTCCCCCAGCACTGGCGTGCACGAACGTCAACCCCGCGGGCAGCGCCGGAAAGTCGCACTGCCCCTCGGCGTTCTCGCCGCAGGCCACGGCCGTGCCATCGCTCCTGAGCAGGACAGTGTGCAGACATCCAGAACTGGCCTGCACGTAGCTTAGACCTGCGGGCAGCGCGGGGAGGTCGCACTGCCCCTCGTCGTTCCGGCCACAGGCCACGGCCCTGCCATCGCTCCTGAGCAGCACGGTGTGCTCTGCACCGGCACTGGCCTGCAGGTACCTCAGGCCCGCGGGAAGCCCAAGGAGGTCGCACTGTGCCTCGTCGTTGCGGCCGCATGCCACGGCCGTGCCGTCGCTCCTCAGCAGCACGGTGTGCTCTCCCCCCGCACTGGCCTGGACGTACGTCAGACCCGCAGCCAACGCTGGAAGGTCGCACTGCCCGAAGCCGTTCTCACCGCAGGCCACGGCCGTGCCGTCGCTCATGAGCAACACGGTGTAGTCCGCCCCAGCGCTGGCCCGCACGTACGTTCGCCCTGCAGGCAGCGCTGGAAGGTCGCACTGCCCTTTGGCGTTCCCGCCGGTCGCCATGGCCGTGCCATCGTTCCTGAGGGGGCATGGGGCGAGGATTAAGTCGGGCCTGTTCCCCCTACAGGGGGATTTTCAACGAAAAATAAAAAAGTATGAAAAGTTGTCCAAACATAGTATGGGGACAATTTTTGAATATGATTTTACCTTTTTGGGGTCTTTTGGTGGTATTTTCTATTTTTGGTCGAAAATCCCCCTGTAGGGGGACACGCCCGACATAACCTCAGTCGACCAGCCGACCTCGGCCGATCTGCCTCGACCGATCGAGAGTGATGGACCGCCTCGCTCCTGAGCAGCACGTTGTGGCAGTAGTACTCGTCCGCATCGCTGTCGCCCGAGTCGTCGGCCTCCGGGGGATCCTCTCACCCGGGTCGATCCAGACCCGTGTCCGCCAGGCCTTGCAGGATCCTGCGAGATCCTGCAGGATCCTGCGCCCGAGCCCGCTTCAGCGCGAGGGATCCTGCAGGATGCTGCGCACAAGCCCGGGTCGACGCCACCCGGCCCCTGCAGGATCCTGCACGACCAGGCGCTCTGGCTGACCCCCGTTTGCATTTCGGCGGTGGACAAACCTCCCTTTAGTAAACCTCCCCTTAGTGAAAGCAGCCTGGGACGGAAACCGACGGACCTGGACCCGCAAAAATGACGGCCGCGACGCCCCCTCGCGAAGCGAAAACGGCCAATTCCTTAATCGACGTCAGGGTAGGAGGTCTGTCCAACCCCGAGCACGGACTCCCGTCTCTCAAAGCCCGAGGCCTCGCCCTCCTCCTCCGCGCCAGGCCGCGGAGGCGGCTGTGCCTCGCCGTGGGGGGCGGGCTCCTCCTGGCGGGCGGGGCGCACGCGCGCGAGTGCGAGCGGGGGGCTCGTGTGGGACGTCGCCCCGGAGGAGGAGGCGGAGGAGGAGGAGGAGGAGGCGGAGGAGGAGGAGGAGGAGGCGGAGGAGGAGGAGGAGGACCCTGACCTTCCAGCGTGCTGGAAAAATCTCACCCCAGACCTGTAGATCCATCTGGACTGCCTCGAAAACCTCGACAGGCATTGAGACGTCCACGTCCAGGTGCTATTCTTTAGCCTTTCTGGAAGGTCAGTGCCAAAACATAGCACCCCAGACCTGTAGATCTATCTGGACTGCTAAAAAACCCCAACCGAAAATGAAGACGTCGACGTGCCGGTGCTATCCACTTTAGCCCCCCTGGAAGGTCAGCCCAGGGCGGAGGAGGAGGGGGAGGAGGAGGAGGAGGACCCCCTTCCATCCAGGGGGGCGCAGCTGGGGTTGCCCCCGAAGGGGGGCCGTCACTTCGCCGCCCGACCCCGCCCCTCCCCCCTCGCCTCACACCCCTCTCCTGGCACATTCTCTGCTGCCGCGGACACCTCGGCATCTCTGCGACACCCCGCGGGAGGCATGCGTGCGAGGAGGAGCGCGGCGACGACGACCGAGAGCGCGACGACGAGGAGAGGACGACGACGAGGGGCGAGGCGTGCGAGGAGGAGCGCGGCGACGACGCCTGCGAGCGCCCGGTCCGAGGCGGACGAGGCGAGGGGGGCGACGGCGCGCCCGCGCCCAGCCCGTGCCGCGACGAGGCGGGCGGCGGCGCGGCGCGGCGAGGCCGACGACCGGGCGCTCGGCGCTCCTGCTCCGAGCCCCCCCGGAGAAGGGAGGGCCTGCCGAGAGGGGAGCAGACAATGACATAGACTTCTGTCGGGCGTGTCCCCCTACAGGGGGGGATCGTCGACGAAAATAAAAAAAAAACCAAAAGTGCCCCCCAAAAAGGACCACAAATACCCCAAAACAGTGCCCGGGATATGTTTGGAGCATTTTGGGGCTATTTTTGGGGTACGTTGTATTTTTCGTCGAAAATCCCCCTGTAGATGGACAGGCCCGACATAAACATAGACATAGACACTACACTCGAAGGTCCGCGCGGACCTCTCGGATCGGCGCTGGGCCACCCCCCCCCTCCCTGGCGCGCGGCAGGGGCGCGCCAGGGGGCCGCGCCGGAGGCGCCGCCACGGGGCTCCGAAGCGCCGAGCCGAGACATCCGCGCGGACCTCCGAGCAACTTTTCCACCTTCTTGAGAGATTGTATTTAGGGGACAACCGTTACTTCTGTTGTTGAGATGTTATACCGTTCTTTGTCTCCGAAATTTTAGGGGACAGAGAAGGGTATAAGATAAACTTTTCCGCCGTCGGGGACGCTGGCCCCAGGGTCGCTGGAAACTTTATGCCCCTGCAGCGGCACGTCGGGGTATAAGCTTGCGAGCCGCCATGGGTCAGGCGTCCCCGACGGCAGCAAAGTTGATTGTATACCGCTCTTCGCCCGCTCACTTATATCATGCTTGGTTCCTGGAGCCAGTGCTGCACAGAGGGTCCGATGCAATAGGGCCATCGTGCGATCTACCCTATAGGGAACACCGGACGGAGTCTTCGAGAGGACTGCCCTTCTGCCGCGGAGGGCCCCGACCGCGAGGAGAGGCTCCGCGAGACGAGCCCGAGGATCGGCCCAAGAGTCCTTGCACACAGCCATCGCGCTACCGCGAGGAGCGCCAACTCAGGAGCGGCGGGGCGGGGGACAAATCCGAGGATCGGCCCGAGAGCCATTGCAAGACAGCCCTCGCGCTGCCGCGAGGAGCGCCACCTCGGGAACGGCGGGGGGGGGGGGCTCTTGCCGCGCGTGGGCGACCAGGCGCCACACCACATCATTGGACCGAAAGATCGGCCCCCCAAAACCAGAGCCCCTCCCGAGCCCGAAGGGGGCCCTCCTTTGAGGAGGAGGAGGAGGAGGAGGAGGAGGAGGAGGAGGAGGAGGAGGAGGAGGAGGAGCGCAGCGTAGGAGGGAGGAGGAGGAGGAGGAGGAGGAGGAGGAGGGGGAGGAGGAGGAGGAGGAGGGGGGGGATGGCCTCCAGGAGACCAGCGCTCTCCAGGCCCACCTCACATACAAGCCATCAGCAACAACCATCCTCGACTCTCCACAGCCCCCCCATCCTCGATCCAAAGACTCGGGCACGAGGCCGAACCGACCATCCCCCTCACGGTGACCCCTGGAAGGAACTGCCTGATGTCTGCTCCAGAACCCCTGGATCAAACGATCTTGGCGTCTCACTTTCACTGAGAGGCACGAACTTACAGTTTCGGAGCTCCGCGCGGATGTCTGGATTGGTGCTGGGCCCCTCCCGGCGGCGGCGCCGGAGGCGCCGCCAGCGGGTCAGGCAGAGATCCAGTCAATCCGCGCGGACCTCCGCAAGTGCATGTTCATGGAATGTTTGGCGGCGAGCACGGGGGGGAAGTGAGAAGGGGCGGGCCTTCTCAGAAGGCTCCGAAGTTGTCTTAGTTTTCCCCGAAGTAAGATGCAGACGGCTTCTGAGAGGGCGCGAGGGCTTCTGAGAAGTCCCGCCGCCTTCTGAGAAGGCCTTCTCCTTCTCACTCCCCCCCTCTGGGGTAACCAGACAAGGTACCGATACCACTCCTTTCCGGACCTCTCCCGGGGTGCGTCCTGACCAGGATTGCGAGGCGAATCCAGCGGTGGCGACGAGGGCCCCACAGGAGGCCCAGAAAGGGGACAACGAGGGGAGGCCAGCAGTATTAGAAGAAGAAGCAAATACATAAACATAAACTGTTGGCGATCCGCGCGGAGCGCCGAAAGTTTATGTTTATGGCGCTTTTCTTCTTCGAGACGAGAGCCCCCCAGGAGGCCCAGAAAAGGGAAAACGAGGGAGCGTAGCGGTAGGTCGGGCATGTCCTCCTACCTAAAGGCGGACTCTGGACGATTTGTTGAAATGATAAACACAAATTCCGTTTAAATCGTCAAACGAAAAATAGTAAAAACGTCCCGAGACTGTTTTTTTGACAATTCTTTACTACTCCTCATGTAGAGGGAGAGGCCCGCATTAAGCGTAGCGGTATGGGTACCCGTTGAGCAGGGACCGACCGTCCCAGCATTCCTATGGGCCTACCACGACATGTTCTTCGAATCCCAACAAATTCTAAGAGCCAAGACAATAATCTCAGAACCTATTCCCGATGTGTTGCAACAGGACGCTCCCAGCCAGAAGTGTTCTAAGAACATCTCGTGGCAACCACAAGAGGTTCTCAGAACATTGCTCGGGAGCGGCCAAGAGGGGGGTGTCCAAGAGGGGGGGGGTGCAAATCATGACCGGCGGCATGTGCGCGGCCCAGCGGGGGGGCCAGGGACGCAATGAAATAAGAAGAGGCGCCATGTAATCTGGGGAAATATCATGGCCCACGCCATGATATCCACCCCCCCCCTAGTCAGCACCCCCCTCTTTTCCGCCCCCGAATTGCTTGGGAGGCCCATGGGCACGCCAGGACGCTTCGCCCCTGCTCGAACCCCCCTGCCTCCGCTCGACCCGCTCCTGCGGCCCCCTCCGCCCGCGGATCACCGCCCGCGGCCTGTTGCCGCCGCCGCCGCCGACGACGACGTCGACTACGACGACGACGACGCCGACGCCGACGACGACGACGACGACGCCGACGACGACGACGACGACGACGACTACGACAAAGACGACGACGACGCCGACGCCGACGACGACGACGACGAGTTCTTTGCCGCCAGGTTGCCTCCGCGGGCCTCCCGCCGAGGGCGAGGGACATCGGTGGGGCCCTCGCGAGGCCCCCCCCGGGGTCGTCGAATCGGGGGCCGCGCCCTGCCACGGCCACTGCTGGGGAGGGGCCGCCAGAACGCACCTGCGCAGGGGCCCATGGACACACAAATGGATAGAAAGGGATCCCGGATCCAGGATTCCGCCGAGCAGTTCCCATGTCTCCTGGGTTTTTCGTCCCCCCCCCCACTTCCCATATGTTTCAGCATTTTCATTGGAATCGGCGATTCACTGTGTCTGTGTGCTGTTCCCCTCCTGAATATGAAGGACGGGATATGAAGGAAGGGTGGTAAGGACGCAAGTACGAAGAAGCCAGGACGGGAATAACGTCGGGTGAAATCGAGAATCTCTCAGATCCACCGGTTCTGAAGGATGTCTCGGGCTCTGAAGCCTTCTCAGAGCGTTCCGCAACGCTCTGGAATGGATTCATCCTCGTCCTAGCCCCGTCCGTGCAAGACCCTTGGAGGCCGAAGCTCGGATCCTTTGGGCGGCGGGCGACCGATGATGACGGCACGGGACCGGCCGCAGAGGCAAGGACACGAGGGCACCCTGGATGAAGGCGCGCGTCCTTGCCAGGCGCGCTGACTGTAAGGGCTGCCCTCGGTTCGGCGGCGCGACAGTGGGGGAGAAGGCAGAGGGGGAGGGCCTCCTGGGAGGGCTCGGAAGTCCTCCCGCCTTCTGAGGGGCCTTTTGAGCCTGCTCCGACGACGCGGGTGAGGAGCCGAACTCTATATACCGCCGCTGTTTGTTCCGGCCCTTCACTGGAACTCGCACAGGAAAGCGGATCCTGGTGGATACGGGGTCCTGGTGTATACCTTCGTCATGGCTTCCGCGAGACAGCAGGGAAACAGGTATACACCACCACCACCACTCCGACGTCGTCTCCGACCCTCAAAAAACCCTGGGATTGAAAAACCACCCACCACTGGTAATGCATGTGCTCCAGTTTCCGAGCAGAAGCCTTCTCAGAACGCCAGCGGGCTTCCTAGAAGCCGCGCCGCGACCCCCGGGACGGCCTGGCCCCTCTCGCTTAACCCCCCTCGGCGCGACGCCGATCGTGAACTCATCGCCGCCGATGTCTGGCTGCAACCCTCAGCGAGCTCACCCCGCAGACATCCAAGGCTGCAATTCCGTGCCCAGGCCCCCCCTCGGACCATGACTCGGCTGGCGACAGGAAGCTTCTGCTACTTTGAACCTCTCGGGGCCCTCGCCGGGCCTCGGGACCGCCCCCCCAACGAAAGTCTGGGATGGAAAACCGGTCCCGGGGAAGGGGTTGCGCGACCTCGGGGGGTCGACGCCGTGAAAACATCTGGAGCAGGGACCAGGCGTCCCAGCATTCCTATAGGCCTACGTACCACGACATGTTCTTGAAACCCCAACATGTCCTGAGAACGAAAACAATGTTCTTAGAACAGAAGCCGATGTGCTAAACCAAGACAGTCCCAGCCAGAAATGTTCTAAGAACATCTCGTTGAAATTTTAAAGAATCTTAGACACTTCTTCGGTGGGCCGATCGACGAGCCAGGACGCTTCGCCACTGCTTGAAAATCATGACGTCGGGGGTCAGGGTGCGCGAGGACCCATGGGAAGGGCACCGAAAGACTGCTTCCCAAGAAGCTGGCGCCTCGTCCGGTCTCCACATGCTGGGGTGGCCCCTGGGCGGCTCGAACGCCAGAGCTGGAAGACCACGCCGTCGAAACTTGGGGGCCCTGGAGGAGGGGGAGAAGGAGGGGGAGGAGGAGAAGGAGGAGGAGGGGGAGGAGGGAGAGGATGGGGACGAGGAGGAGCAGGAGGGGGAGGAGGAGCAGGAGGGGGAGGAGGAGCAGGAGGAGTAGGAGTAGGAGTAGGAGGAGAAGGAGGAGGAGGAGGAGGAGGAGGAGGAGTTCTTGGAGAAGCAAACATAGGGAAGCAACATACAGCGGAGGCCAATCCACAAGAAGCCTGCCACGAGAAACCCAACCCTGAGACCCCAGGGCGTCCATCGATTTGTGTAGGAGAATCACGATATTTCCATAGCAGGACCATCGAAACCCAAGAAATCCAGGGCACCCTGGAGGCAAGAACGGTGTTTCTTGGCATGGGCCCCCACTTTCCCGCTGCTCCTTGGACCTCAAACCCCCGAGGGACGACCTGACCATGGTACTTCGAGGCGAACCCAGCCGTGGCGACGAGGGACCCCCCAAAAGGTGCAGAGCATCCGAGGTCCCCCCCCCAGGATGCACAAGAACCTCGAACTAACACGAAGAACATCTGGGCACCCTTCCCGAATCGACCTCGATCTTGCACCTCGGCCCGACTCCAAAAGAAGCGGCACCGGCATCGGTACCTTCGTTTCCCTTATAGCTTTCGGTGCCTCCGGGCCCTCCGGGCCGGGAGGAGGGCCGCGCCATGCCCAGACCCCCGACGTTGGGATCTTGTTCAGGACGCCGACCCCCTGAGGTCTCGCCCCCCTCCCCGGGCCCGGCACTCCATCCCGAGCCGTTTGCTGATGGCCCCGAGGCCCGGCGAGGGCCCCCCGAGGCCGAACGTAGCGAAGAGCCTCCCGCCACCACTTCTTCGTCACGACCCCCCCCTCCCTCCATTCGCACGCCTCCGCCCGCCCCTCCCGGCCTCGACCCCCGCGCCTGCGCTTGCCTGCATCCTCGACACCTGGACCCTCGACACCTGGACCCTCGACACCTGGGCCCTCGATGCTCGACCCTCGACACCACACCTCGACCCTCGACACCTCGACCCTCGATCCTTGAATCTCGACCCTCGACCCACGACACTCGACACCTCGGTCCTCGGGGTCGGGGGGCGGCCGCGCCATGCCCCGCCCCAGGGGGAGGGAGGGGGGCCGGGGCCGGGGCGGCTCCCCAGAGCGGCGCGGCGACGGGGGGGGGCCCCGAGCGGGCGGGCAGTGCCGCCGCGGTCTCGAGGGGCCGAAGGGCTGCGGCGACGCCCGACGCACAAGCCTCCTCCGCCTCCTCCTCCGCCTCCTCTTCCTCCTCCTCCTCCTCCTCCTCCTCCTCCTCCTCCTCCATTCCTTTTCCGTATAAAAAACTTCTCCCTGTCGCACCCCGAAGGCAGTTTTCAGAGCGGGACGGGCGTTTCACCTGAGACTTCCTCACCACGTATGACTCTGAAGCTCAACAATTGGCAACAGCTTCGCAGATGGAGGGCGGGGTGTTTTCAAATTGTGGCTATTGCCTTTGCGCTGCGCATATTCGTTTCAAACATTTGCAAGAGGTTCACGGATTGAAGGCGGGTGGTTTTCAAAATGTGGCTCTCGCCTGAGCGCGGCGCACACTTGTTTTAAACATTGCAAGAGCTTCACGGATTGAGGGCGGGTCCCTTTCAAAAAATGTTGCTCTCGCCTTTAGCGCGGAGCACATTCTTTTTACACATTTGTAAGAGCTTCACGGGTTGAGGACAATTCCTTTTCAAAATGTGGCTCTCGCCTCTGCGCGGCACACATTCGTTTCAAAAACGTGCAAGACCTTCACGGATTGAGGGCAGGTCGTTTTCAAAATGTGGCTCTCGCCTCAGCAGGAAACACATCCGCTTCTCTGTTGTATTATTATTTGCAAGAATGCAAGAGCTTTACGGATAAAGAGCGGTTCCTTTTTCAAAATGTGGTTATCGCCTCAGCGAGGCACACAATCGTTTTAACAAAGTGAAAGAGCTTCACTAGTTCCCATCATCAGCGTACAAGAAATGGTGCTTTCATAGGATTCAGGATTACGCGGGCGCAACAGCTACGAAGATTGCCGCAGGGTCTTCAAACGGTTATCTTCAAACGAAGCAGTTCCTTCAATGGAAATGAACCGTTGTAGGGGCCTATGAAGAGGGAGCTTGGAGGGAGGGCTTATTCCAACATCGTTGATGCCTCGTCGGTTTATACCGGTCCGCCTCCTCCTCCTCCTCCTCCTCCTCCTCCTCCTCCTCCTCCCCCATCCTCCTCCGCCCCCCTCCCCCTCCTCCTCCTCCTCCTCCTCCTCCTCCTCCTCCTCCTCCTCCTCCTCCTTCTCCCGATGGATGACGATGTTCGGAGGCACCTACTGGGAGGTCTTCGTCGGCGCGAGACCAAGATCGATGACGCTGTTGGGAGGCAACGACAGTTTGGGGGATGGGGGGGGACGGATAAATAGCGATACAAGGAGAAAGGTAGGGAAAGAGAGTTTATTCGACCATTGTGTTGCAAACACGTTGAGCGGTAGAAGGAGAACTCAGAGTGGCAGGCGGCCAGACTGCACTCGTAGAGAATGAAAATGAGAAGCCATAAGGCAGAACTGGGTATAACAAAAGCGAGAGAGAGAGAGAGAGAGAGAAAGAGGAACCTAACGACAGAGAAAGACAGGGAGCGAAACAAAGAGGCAGAAAGAGGGGGAGAGAGAGAGAGAGAGAGAAAAAACAGCGAGACAAGCAACTAATGAAGACACACATTTACGGACACAACTATATTTAGATATGCACATATGCATAAGCGCGTGTGGTTTAAAGTTGGGGGTGCTTATGGGATTATGGTGTGCAGGGCGAGGTGTGAGAGCACGGCAAATAGAACTAGTCTATGCATACGCTTGTATCCATCTACATCTGCAAGCGCGCGTGCATTTAACAGCTCGGAGTGCCTATGGCCTATGGTATTGCAGCGTGCAGAGCGCGGTGTGAGAGCACATCAAGTAGAACGCGTGGAGGCATACGCGTTGCACACATCAATGTACACTCGACGGCGGAAGAACAGGAGAGAGAGACAGAGAACAAAAAAAAAGAGAAAGCGATACAGAGTGAGAGAGAGAGATGACGAAACAGAGAGAGAGAGAGAGAGAAAAAAAAAAAGGCAGGCGAGGGGCGCATGCCATACTTGCAGGAGGTCCACCCACTGGGGCTTCTCTCTGGGGTAATGGAGGCCCTTGCGGATGTAATGGGGGGGGGCCTCCTCCTCCTTCTCCTCCTCCACCTCCTCCTCGTCTTCCTCCTCCTCCTGCTGCTCCTCCTCCTCCTGCTCCTCCTCATCCTCATCCTCGGGGCGGCCCTGCAGCGGTTGTGCGCTCTGCACCCGGCGGCGGGACCTGCGAGCAGCCGTCCCGCGCGGATGCCCGCCCCGCACCTCTCCAGTCGGCGGCGAGCGAGGGGGGGAAGTCAGATGGGGCGGTCCTCCTCTAGAGGCATCCGAGATGGGGTCCGAGTAGGTGGGGTCGGAGGGTCGCGCCGCATCGCCGATGCATCGCCGATGTATTGGCGATGCATCGGCGATGCATCGGAGACGTCGACGGTGCATCGGCGATACCAGCATGGAGAAAATCGGGATCCGCATCGAGCGATCCTCCGAATACATCTGCCCCGACCCCATCCAGGAGGCCTAGAGGACATGAGAAGGGGGGGTCCTCCTCGGAAGGCCCGCAAGTCCCCCGGCCTTCCGAGAAGCTTTTTCTGAGCCTTCCTCTGAAGGAGCAGAAAGCTTCCCAGAAGGCGCGCGAGCTTCTGAGAATTCCCGCCGTCTTCTGAGGAGGCCTTCTGCTTTGAGGATCGTTCAACCGATCCCCATCCCCAGCGGCGTGGCATGGGCCCCACTGGCCGATTGACCCCCCTAGATGGGGATATGGGTCGGTCCCTTCGGGCTTCGAGGGGTGCATCCCCAACTGGGGTGGTAATTTGGTGGGGGTCTCGAAGGGACTGGGGATGGGGATGGGGATCGTTTATCGGGAGCGGCCAAGAGGGGGGTGTCCAAGAGGGGGGGGGGCAAATCATGACCGGCGGCATGTGCGCGGCCCAGCGGGGGGGCCAGGGACGTAATGAAATAAGAATAGGCGCCATGAAATCTGGGGGAATATCATGACCCCCGCTATGATATCCACCCCCCCCTCCCCCTAAGTCATCACCCCCCTCTTTTCCGCCCCCGAGTTTAACGATACCGATCCGGCTCTCTTTCCCCCCTTCGATAGCCGCCGACCCAGGGCAAGCAGCAGCGCGTCGCGACGGACGGCGTCGGGCTCCAGTGCCGACCCCCCGCGCCTCGCCGAGACGCGTTCCACGGCCCCGCTGCCGCCGCTCGCCCCTCTCAGCGGGCGCGGGCCCAAGCGGCGCGCAACGGACTGGTGTGAGCCAGCAGTAGAAGACAAGAACGCGGCTGGCAGGCCGATGACAACTCGGAGGTCCGCGCGGATTTCTCGGATCGGCGCTGGACCCCCCTCCCTGGCGAGCGGAGAGCACCAGGGGCGGCGCCGGAGGCGCCGCCGGGGGGCCCCAGCGCCGATCCGAGAAATCCGCGCGGACCTCCGAGTTGTTATGTTTATGCCACTTTTTGTTCCCCTAGATGAGGTGGCCGGATGATCCGTGGGGCTCCGTCTTGCGGCCGGTCTGGGCCCAAGTTCGGACACGGCTGGCAGGTCCATGGGGTGGCCGCAGGATCCATGGGCGTCCGACCTGCAGCCAGTCCGGACCCAGGTTGGGCTGTGACAGTGCAGTCCCAAAGGCGTGGGCATGATGGAGCAGTGCTGTGCTGGTTGGGCGTCATGCTGGGGTCATCTTGATCTGGGCCCCGTGGCGTTTTGCCGCAGGGGAGACGGGGGACGAAGCCATGCCACGATAAGGCGGTAACCATGAGAAGCTGACGTCTTCTGGCGCATCCGCTCGGCTACCTGTCTCTTCTCTCGCTTGTCTGGGCTTGAGGCCTGGGCCTCGGGCCTGCAAATGATCAGAGCGGCGAAGAGCGAGGAACCAGAAACGAGGAGGGAGCAGCGCCACGGGAAGGAGCTGAGAATGATGGGCAGGGAGCGAGGAGGAAAGGAGCGAGGAGCCACGGTCGAGCCCACGAGGGGCGCGGAGCGAGGAGCGAGGAGACAGGGGCGAGGAGCCAGGAGGCAGGAGCGAGGAGCGAGGAGCAGCGAGCGGGCCAGGACACAAGCCCTCAGCGAGTGAGTGCGAGCGTTTGCAGGGTGCGACCTCGAAGCGAGTGCTACCGAACGCTTCGGTCTCCCCTTGTCGCGCTCTCGGAGCATCCCTGGGGCCATCTTGGGCTCGATACCATGGGGCCCTGGGGCCTTCTTGGGCTGAACATTATCTTGGGGCCCTACTGGGCCTCTTGGGGGCCAGCTTGGGGTCCCCCGGGGCCTCTGGGTGACTCTCTGGGGCGTCGAGGCAGGAGCGCCTGGGGCTGTGCTGGGGCGGCCGGGGACTCTGGCGCCCTGGGGCCCGCATGTGAGGCCAGCCTGGGCAACCTTGCGGGACCTCCTCCTCCTCCTCCTCCTCCTCCTCCTGTGGGAGTGTGTGGGACGTGGCGTGTGGGGCGTGTGCCATCGAAGCGAGCACGCACGAACACTTGGTCTCCTCCCGGTGCCTGCTGGGGGGCCATCGAGGGCTGCACTGCGGCCCTCCAGTCGGCGGTGGACGAACCTCCATTCCGTAGACCTCCGTGTCATGAAAACGGCCTCGGACCGAAGCCGACGGACCTGGGCCCGCAAAAATGACGGCCGCGACGCCCTCTCGCGCACCGAAAACGGCCAGATCGCTAATCGGCGTGTCAAGGTAGGAGGTCTATCAACATCCGATCCAGGGGCATCTCTCATGCTGGCGTCACTTGGGGCCTCTGGGTGCCGCTCGGGTGGGGAAAAGTGGGCGCTCTGGGAAGCCTTGGGGCCTTGATGGGGAGGCCGTGGGACATCCGTCTTGGGACCGTCTTGCTAGCCAGCCCAAGCTGTCTGAGGCCATATTGGGGGGCATCTGGCCTCCCATTCGGAACAGTCTTGTTTTGAAAACAAACAGCCGAGCAGGCTTTCAACACAGACCGGGCTTCTGACATTTGCCGACTCCCTGGAGCTCTCCGCAGATGACCTGCTTGCCATCGCCCGGACATTCTCCCCCCGTGCACTGTCCAGTTTCGTGCGTTTGCTGTCTCGCCAGATGAGCCTGCATGCTCTTCGATGGCCTTCGGCGATAGCAATGCGCACGCCCGAGCGATGCCTAGCCCGAGGACCTCTCCGCACCATCTTCGGGCAAGGCACATACGCCGGGTGGCCCCAGGAACGCCGAGCGGGCACAGAGAGGGGCGGAGAGAAACGGCGCAGGCCCAAAAGAGCGTCCAAGAGCTCCCCACGACCCTGCCAGCATGGCTCCAAGCGGCGGCCTTTCGGGTTCCAGACGGGCACCGCTCATTAGGGCCTCCGTCTTCGACCGATGCCCTCCAAGGTGGCACCAAGCGCCCCCCAAGGGCCGCAGAAGAGTCCCGAGATGGCCCTGGCGGCACCCCAAACTTCCCAAAGACGGCTCCAGGAGGCTTTCAAGAGGCTTCCAAAGAGTTTCTTAGGAGTAAAACAATTGCTGAGTGTTTCATGGCTGGCTCCTGCCGTCGTCGTCCTCCACCTCCTCCTCCTCCTCCTCCTCCTCCTCCTCCTCCTCCGTCCTCTGTTCTCCTCATAATTTTCCTCCATACCCTCCATGTCCTCTTGTCCTCCTCCCTCGTCCCCCTCTTCTCCACTTTCGCCTCCGCATCCCCCTCCTTCTTCGACGGTAGGCTCATGAATTCAAGCCCTGGGAATGCTAAAATGGCCCCGAAGTGCAGCTTCACGGCTGACCCATCTGTATGTTCCGCTGGATGCTCCTACACTTCTCTGGTAAAGGCAGCTGGCCTGGCGAACGTTTCTGGACGGGCTGGTGGGCAGACGCGAAGCGTCAATTATGTATGCCGCTTGCCGTTCTGGTTGTGCTCCGCCTGGAGTGGTAACACCAGTGACGTCCAGCTTTGCGGGCAAGCAAAGGAGTTTCGCCTGCCACACCTTGCTGAGTAGTGCCAGCGCCCACTGCCACTGCTCGCCCTTCTCGCTCGCGCTGGTCGCGGCGACGTAGCTGACCAGGACTGGCCCGTGGACTACCGTCCACGAGGTCGCGTTTGTAATCGAAAGTGAGGATTGCAGCGCACGTGCGCGGCACAGCTCATCTTCGAAGAGAACAAGGTTTATCGCGACACGGCACAACAAACACAGCGAATCATGGCACAACGAAGCATCATCAGAGAGGACAAACATGTTTGCGGCACGGGACTGTAGAGGGAGCGCGCTTGGACGCCCTTGACACGCTCCGACCAGCGGCAGAGTCCGAGTAGACCCGCCTGGGCGGGCACTCGATCGGATCTTCGACCTGCCGACAAGTTGCGGAGCTCGACTGGACCCAACCAAGGTCAACCATGACAACATCGATCAATAGGAGGCCTAGAAATGGGCACCAACACCAACACAGGGGGTTGCCTCCACATGGGGAAGATGATTCTAGATTTCGGTGTTGGTGGCAATAATTCGGTCACCTTGGAAGCCAGAATATCACCACCATCACCGAGATCGGGATCTTCTTCCCTCGGTGGAGGCACATCACCGATATTGGTGTTGGTGTCAACCTCTACGCCTGCGAATCAAAGTATTGTCGCGAGGAATATGTATCCAAACTTGCCCGGCAACGCACCAGAGAAGCTGCCGCTCAGCTGCCAAGAGGCCGCTCGGCTCCCAAGCCGCCGAGCAGGAAGACCACGTGCATGCCGCGCTCGCTCCTCTCGCACGCGCTGGCTCCGGCGGCGTAGCTGAATAGGGTGTCCCGTGGATGCGACGCATGGCCAACACATGGCACAATCGTTACGAGGGCGTGCTGGGGCGGCAAGACGATAAAGGGGCCCCAGGACACACAAATAAATACACTCAAATAAAAGGATTCCCCATATTTTCCAATATTTTTAGGGTTCTTGTCTTCCCCCCCCACTCCCCATATGTTTGCATATTTTCATGGGAGACGACGATTAATTGTGTCTGTGTGTTTCTTTCCCTCCTGACTCATGGCCAACGAATGACACAATCGTTACGAGGGCGTGCTGGGGCGGCAGGGCGAGGAGGCCCACAGCATTGCAGATGTCAAGTGCTCGATGCGCGTGGCCTTCTTGGGGCTGCAAGGCATGCGGCGGGTGGCTCTGGCAGGGCCCGGGGAACTCCAGGGGAGCCCAGGACGCCCCACCGTGAGCGGCCCATGCCAGGCTCCAGGGAAGCTCCCTAACCAGCCTCGAACCCATCCCTATCCCTAGGATGGGCGAGCAGAAAGCGAGGACAATCTTAGGGATGTGCCCTCGCAAGCCGAAGGAGTCCTTAAGATCGACATCGGGGTGAGGTGATGCCAAACACCAAGAGAGGGAGATGTTTCAAACTGGTAACTTCCATCAGGAAGCCCCAGGGCGCCCCAGGAGGCTTCAGAAGTAGGAAGCCACAGAGGACGTATACGCGCCCAGCCACGTGCCTGAAGACGGCCCCCCACTCCTCGAGACCAGCCGCAGAATACGAGCGTGCGCGCAAGGCGCTCTCTCGCAACCGACGCGGCTTCCTGCAACTGCCCAGCAACAGCTCGGGACGACGGGCACGTCCGGGGGGGGGGGGCGGGCCCTGCACGGGCTTTTTTTTCTCCCGCGCTCACAGGCTGGGCGAGCGGGCGAGTGCCTCGCGACCCCCTGCGGACCCCCATCAGTCCTGCCTGGCACCACCAGGCCAGAGCGGGGCGGGTGCTGTCTCGGGGCAGCCCCGGCGCGGGGCCCGGACCCACGACTCCGCCGGGCGCAGGGGCTCCGCCCTGCAGAGATGCCTGACGTCCGATCCCCGGGTCCCCACGAGGTGCCGAATGCTGCGGACGCCTGCCGCTCCGGACGTCTGTGGGTGTGTGTATCTTACACGGGCCCTGGGACACACGAAGAAAGACACAGAAAGAACCGGGCTCCCCCTATTTTCTTACACTTTCGGGTGTTTTTTGCCTGCCCCCCCCCCCCCCTTCCCACATGTGTTCCCCTATCTTCGGGGGGATCGACGGCTCAATGCTGCCTCTGTGCGTTCTTGCTCCCTCCCGAGGCCTGTCCGCTTTGGCGGTGCGGCTGCAAGGTGCGCCGGCGGGCGCTCGCAGGGTAGTGTGCCCCCCCGGGATCGGCGGGCGAGCGGTGGCCACCAGGGGCGCTCTGAGAAGTGCCTCGGGGCTGCCGGATGCTGGCCATCGCTCGGGCGTCCATTCCCTGCGCTTTTTTCGGTTTCGTGCGCGCTTCTTTCGCCAAATGATCAAGGATGCTCCTCAAGGGCCCTCGCCGAGAAAAAAATACACACGTCCGAGCGATGCCAGGGATACCGCTCGAGACCTGTGCACGGCTCGCTCCAGGCACGCTCACCCTGTGTCCCGACGCCGCGGGGAAAAGCGCAACATCGCGAAAAGCTCGGCTGGGATGGCCTTGACCCCGGGGGGGGCATCACGAGGGTCATGGCCCAGAGGGTAAAACAAACACGCTGTTTGGGGCATCTGGTTTTGGCCCCTGGAGCATCTACGCCGCTGTTTGTGTATATCTCTCTATATATATATAGATAAATGGATGTTCTACATAAGCGTATACACATATGGTTGTGTGTACCTGCGTGCGTGAATGTGAATGTGAATGTGAATGTGAATGTGAATGTGAATGTGAATGTGAATGTGAATGTGAATGTGAATGTGAATGTGAATGTGAATGTGAAGTTGAATGTGTATGTGGCCAGCTTCGGGAACCCTGGCTTGCCTGCCAACGCATTCCACCGAGCTTCCGGCGACTGCCACCAACGCCACCGCCCACATCTTGAGTTATGCCTTCCGTCCGACTCCGTCCACGAAGATACGTCAGTGTCGCGATCCCTCGAAGACGGCGCCCCATCTGGGGCGCCCCACGTACATACACACATGTACATATATATATATATACTTATGTATATATATATATATATATATATATATATTTAACGAGACTACAAGACTGCAGTGGCGCTTCGCGCCATGCACCTTGGTCCTTGAAGTTTGGTATGCAGGCGGAATGGCAGCAAGGTCAAGCCGACAATTTAGCGATAACTCCTGATTGCCTTTTCTGGCATTGCGGCTATAATGATGTTATTCGTTATCCATCCTCCATGCTCATTGTTCCTCATTTTCGCCATACCCTGCGCATTCTCCCCATCCTCCTCAGCTCTTTTTTGCGGAGGCTCCTCCTTGGAGAGCCTCTAGGGGCCTCACAAAGTTGTTTCAGGCTTTCTTAACGCCTTCTGGAGGCCTCCTGTGCGTATTCTGGGGGCCTCTGGGGGCTTCCTCGGGCCACCCTGCCTCCAACCGCCGTCTCCCTGAACGACCGAAACACGATTTGGAATTCTTCGGAGGGTGTCTTTGGGCCATCTTGGGCCGCCATGGGGCTCTCTGAGGGCCATCTTGGACCCGTGCTGTGCCGTTTTGGGGCTCTCTTGGACTGCCTGGAAGCCCTTTCGGATAGTTGCGGGGCGATTTGGGAGCCTCCCAGGCGGCTTCGGACGCCCAGAAGACCGCCGTCTTGGAGCGTCGGGAAGCCGAAAAGAGGAAAACTCCAAAATTCACCAATAACCCGCAGAAAATCAATCATTTTTGCCTCGGGGGGCCTTCTTGGGAGTGCTCTTGGAGGCCTCTTTGGGGCCGTCCTGGAGGCCTCTTGTGCCATCTTGAGGTCACGTCGGTCACTCTTGGAGCGCTCTTGTGCTGTCTTGGGGGTCTCTGGGAAGTCTCCGATGACCCCCCTGATCGCCCTAAGTGTGCTGGGAAGGCTTGGCAAAACGCCTTGCGAGGCCCGGTGGCCGCTTCGAGCCCCGTCCGGAGGAGTCCCAAAGCCCCAGGTCCCGGGAGTATGGTTTTTTTTGGGGGGGTGATGGGTTTTCCCCCCGCCCAGGCTTATAAAAATATAGGAAGAGGAACATATATATATATATATATATATATACATATATACATATATATGTGCATATATAAAGATGCATGTGTATACACATACGTATGCATACACACATATACATATATCTATATATATATACACGCACACAAATATACACATACACGTCGATGTACGCAGGTCCATATGTCAGCCACCATGGACCCGTTGTGGCACCACGTGCTCGAGGCGCGTGGCCACACTGCGATACTCGAGGGGGTCCCGTGAGGACGACGTGGAACACCTGGGTTCCCTACTGGTGCGGTCCGCCTTCTGGGCTCTCCGGGTGCCCTGTTGGGTCGTCTCGGGTCGCCTCGGGGCTACTTCTTGGAGGAGGAGGAGGAAGAGGAGGAGGAGGAGGAGGCGGAGGAGGAGGATGAGGAGGAGGAAGAGGAGAGGAGGGAGGAGGAGAAGGAAGGGGGAGGTCCCCAGAGGCCTTGGGGAGGTCCCCAACTGACGGCATCTTGTTGCCAGCTGCATTAGTGCATTGGGAAGCACACCACTCGACCAAACCCGTAGAAGCACGTTCACATATTTCTGGTATCCAGGGCCGCTCCTGAATGAGGCCTCTTGGGGCAGCCTTCCAGTTCTTGGCAGGCTCGGAAGTCCCTTGGGGTTGACAGGGGCTCCTTGAGGCCCGCGTGGGGCCGTCTTGAGGCCTCTGCCGTCTTGGCGGTCCCTGGAACTGTCCTGGGGGCCCGCGTGGGGCCGTCTTGGAGGCCTCTTTGGGTTCCCTGGAGCTGTCCTCGCGGCCCGGGTGGGCGGAGCTGCGCGCTGGCCCGGGGGCAGATGGGCCGACGGCCCTGCCGTCGGAGCACCCCGCTCGCCGCACACGCTGTGCCCGCCCGCGAGGGGCCTGAGGGCTGCTGCACCGACTTGATCTGACTACCTACCAGACCACCCCAACCCAACCCGAAGACCCCAATTTCGGGTTGGGGGGGGGGTACGGGTTCCATATGTGTTTTTTCAGTGTTCTCCGACCCCCCCCCAACTGGAAATGGAGGGCGAATTGAGGCCTTCGGGTTGGGTTGGGTTGGGGTGGTTTGATGGGTGGTGATTATCCTGGCGCTGCTGGGTCTTTCTCGGGCCGTGCGCACTGAGCCGAAAAAAGCAGACCAGGGATGACGTCGGGCTCCAGCATCGCCTCCCGCATCTCTCTGAGCAACAGCACGACCTGCTGCCACTGCCTTGCTTTCCCGCACGCGCTGATCCCGGCGCTGTAGCCGATGGCGTCTGTCTCGACCGTCGCCTCCCACATCTCGACGAGCAGAGCAAACGACCGCTGCCACTGTCCCCCCTTCTGGCACGCGCTAATCCCAGAGTTGTAGCTGACTAGGGCTGACCCGTGGACTACTGTCCACGAATGCCAGAGGATTGAGCGTGCGCTCGTTGCTGCTTATTGCTCCAAGATGCGCTGTTTGCTTGATGATCCTATGATCCTGACGGCGTCTGGAGCAGCACTAGCAGCAGCAGCAGCAGCAGCAGCAGCAGCAGCAGATCCAGCACCATCGGCAGTAGCAGCAGCAACAGCTGCAGCACCAGCTCCAGCAACAACAGAAGCAACGCGGACCTCTGGGGGCCTCCCGGGGGCCTTCTCGTCCTCGTTTTCCGCGTCCTCGTCCTCGTCCTCGTCGTCGTCGTCGTCGTCGTCGTCGTCGTCGTCGTCGTCGTGGTCGTCATTGTCGTCGTCGTCGTCGGCGTCGTCGCCGCTGTCGTCGTCGTCGTCGTGGCCGTGGTCGTCGTCGACGTCGTCGTCGTCGTCGTCGTGGTCGTCGCCGCCGTCGTCGTCATCGTCGTAGTCGTCGTCGTCATCGTCGTCGTCGTCGTTGCCGTCCTCCTCGTCCTCATGCTCCTCCTAGTCCTCAGCACCAGCTCCAGCAACACCAGAAGCAACGCGGACCTCCGGGGGCCTCCCGGGGGCCTTCTCGTCCTCGTCCTCCTCAACCTCGTCCTCGTCGTCGTCGTCGTCGTCGTCGTGGTCGTCATCGTCGTCGTCGTCGGTGTCGTCACCGCTGTCGTCGTCGTCGTCGTCGTCATCATCGTCGTCGTCGTCGTCGTGGTCGTGGTCGTGGTCGTGGTCGTGGTCGTCGTTGTCGTCGTCGTCGTCGTCGTCGTCGTCGTTGCCGTCCTCCTCGTCCTCATGCTCCTCCTCCCCTCCTCTCGCCTTCCTCCTCCGTCTTATCCCCTTCCTCCTGTCCAGCCTGCTGCTTGTCGTGCCAGCAGTTCCGCGTGCTGTAGCAGGCTGTTCCCAGCGGAGGCATCGGGGAAGCGGCGGGGGGGCCCTCCGATACACGGGATGGGGTCGTCGTGGGGCTCTGTGGGAGCCTCTGGAGAGCCTCTGGGGGCCTCTGGAGAGCTCTTGGGAGCGCCTCTGGAGCCTTCTGGGAGCCTCTGAAGAGCGCCCGGGGGCCTCTTGGGAGCGCCTCCGGGGCCTTCTGGGGGCCTCTCGGGGGCGTCTTGGAGCCGTGCTGGCCGTGGAGGGGCCCAGAGGGGGGGGAAGCGCTCCGAACTGGACCCTCTTGGGCGTCCCTTGGGGCCGTCTGGGGGGGTTCTTGGGCCGTCTCGGGGGCCCCGGGAGCTCGATCGGGGGCCTCTGGGGCCGTCTTGGGGACTCTCTTGGAGGCCCTCCGGGCAGCATGGGCCCGATTTCGGACGCCCGCGGTGCCGTGGTGGGCGTCTTGGGGCGGGCGGGAGGAGCACCACCGGAAACGTCAAAGACTCTCGAGAATATCGATAGTTTTGCGGCCTTGGGGCCCTCGTGGGGGTCCCCTGAGAGCTCCGTGGAAGCTCGAGGGGGCCCTCCGAGCCCGTCCTGGGGCCCTCTCGGGCTCGCTGGGGAGCTTCTGGGAGACTCTCGAGGCCTCCGCGTCGAGGCCCTCATGGGCCGTCCTGGGGCTGTCCCGGGCCGAGACGGCGTCACCCCACGGGCGGGGCCCCCGGGGCGCCGCCGCGGGTGACCATCGCTCGCCCTTCTCGCACGCGCAACGCCCGGTATTGTAATATAGATGGTGTCGAGCTCCAGCTTCGCTTTCCGCATCTCGCTGAGCAACGCCACGGCGGGCTGCCACTGCTCGCTTTTTTCGCACGCGCTGATTCCAGCGCTGTAGCTGACGATCGGAATGATCGCTGGACTACCGTGGATGGAAAATCATTCGCCGCAGATTGCCGGCCAGTGCTGGTCGATGGTGTTTGCTGTCCCTTCCGTTTGCTTACTATTCCTCGCTTGCTTAGGCATGCCGCTGCATTCTGCGGCCTGGGAGTACAATGAGCTGCCAGGTGCGGGTGAATGCTGCATGCCTGCCAACGCAACGCGTGTCTCTGCCATAGCTGCTGCTGCGACTTACCGTGAATGAGTGCCAGTGCTGCTCGGTGGTTGTGCTTGCTGTGCGTTGGTGCTACTGCTGTTTCCTCTTGCTGCTGGCCGCTTGCTGCTTGCGCCACTCCTGCTGCAGACTGCTGCTACCTCGTGCCTGCTGCGTGCTGCTGGTGCTGCGTGCTGTTGCTCCGTGCTGCTTGTTGCTGCGTGTTGCCGCTTGCTGGTGCTGCTTGGTACAGCTGCTCCACACTGCATGCTCGGTCTGCTTGTCGACGCCGCGGATTCTGCTGCTGCTTGCTACGGCTGCCTGATGCGTGCATCTGCTGCTAACTGTTGCTGCTGCTGCCTCTGCTGCTGCTGCTGCTGCTTGCTGGTGCTGCCTCATGCTCCGGCTCGAGGCTGTCGTGGGTCGTGCTTGTCGGCGGCGGGCGAAGGGGGCAGCGAGAAGCAGATGGCCTTCTCAGAAGGCGGCGGGACTTCTCGGAAGGCCTGCGTCGTCGGGAAAGGCTCAAGACAATCTCCGAGAAGGCCGAAGGACTTCGGAGACTTCTGCGGAGGCCCGCCTCCTCTTCACTTCCCCTCCTGCCTCGCCGCCGAGACTGCAGGCGGCGGCGGGGCCCCCTCCGAGGCCGCCGCGGAGCGCGCCGGGGCCTTCTGGGAGCTCCCCTGGGAAAATCTTTGGCGCCACCTGGGCCATCTTGGTCCTCCGGTGGACCGTGCCCGGCCGCCCGGAAGCATCTCTCGAGCCCACACATTGGGGCCCTCCCGGTGCCGCCGTGATCTGCACTGCGTCGAGGCCGCGCGAGACCTCACTGGCACCATCCCGGGCCGAACAGCATGGGAAACGATCGGCACCACGGGCCTGAAGGCTTCTTGATGCAAGAATCTTCACTGCCGGCGTCACTGTGCCAGCTGGGGCGGCTCCTGCGGACCTCTTCGGGGACCTTTTCGTGCCTCTGCCCGAGCCGGGGCTCTCTTTGGGGGGCCTCGTGAGGGATCTGGGGGCCCTCCTCCATGAGAATCTGAGGGCCTCTGGCCTCGAGGGGCACTTTGGGCACACGGGTCGCTGTGGGGGTCTGCTGGCACAACTGTGAGCGACTACCTACCAGACCACCCCAACCCAACCCGAAGACCCGAATTTCGGTTTGGGGGGGGGTACGGGTTCCATATGTGTTTTCTCGATGTTCCCCGACCCCCCCCCACTGGAAATGGAGGCCAATTTGAGGCCTTCGGGTTGGGTTGGGGTGGTTTGGTGGGTGGTGAGTGAGGAACTCGAGACCGGCCGGGTAGATTCAGGGTCAGTTGAGTATGACGTCTTTCTGGAACATTCTGGTTCTGTGACTCGAGGGTGACGTTGGGCTCCATCTTCGCCTCCCGTATCTCGCTGAGCAAAGCCAAAGCATGCTGCCACAGAAAGGCTCTCTCGCACGCGCTGATCCCGGCGCTGTAGCTGACGAGTGCTGGCCCATTTGCTGTTGCCAACGCGTCCTCATGAGCACGTCGGCACAAGGCTTGCAGCGCGTAGGGTTAGGTCGGGCATGTCCCCCATACAGGCGGATTTTGGGCGACCAATTCGAAATACCCGGAAAAAAACACAACTGCCCAAACATAGTCATAGAAAATCGTCCCCAGATTCGTTTGACCATTTTGGAATACTCCTCCTGTAGAGGAACAGGCCCGACTCAACACAAGGCTTGCAACGCAGAGGGCAGTGCCGAAGGTCTGGGGCGACAGGCCCTTCGAAGACGCGGCGGCCAGCCGACGCGGCGCAGCATGGCGCAACCGAGCCGCTCGAGGAGAGGCCCGCCTGGGCTTGCAGCGCGGCGCATCGGTCACTGCACAGCATTCGGTCGGGCCTGCCCCCCCTACAGGGGGATTCTGGACGAAAATTAAAATGAGCACAGCAAATACTCCCCAAAATATTCAAAAATAGTCAAAACATCGCCCCCGGACTAATTTTTGACTAATTTTGGATATTCCCCCTGTAGAGGGACAGGCCCGACTTGAGCACAACACGTCGCAGAATGGTGCATCATGGCACCGTGTCGAAGCAGCGGCACCTGAGGAAACGCCCTGCTCACGACAGAGCGGAGCGGATACGGCGCATGGCACAGTGTCGCGAGCTGTCTGAAAGGGAGGGAAAAGACTTGCTCGCCGTACCACGGAAAAGGTGTGTCCTCATGGTTTGCTGCGTCCTGCTTCCGCTTGCTGCCGCGCAGTTCCGTCTGGCGCCGCTTGCCTTGCTTTCCTGTTGCTCGCTGCCGCCTGCTGCCAGTCAGCAGTGCTTGATGTTGCGAGATGCTGCTGGTCGTTGCTGCTTGCCGATGTGTGCAACTTTCACTCTGCCGCTTGGTGTTGGTTGCCACTGGTCGCGGCAGCTCGTTGCTGATGGCTGGATCTGCTTGTGTGGCTGTGGTTGCTTGCTTCTGATGCCTGCGTGCTGCTGATGCTTTCGGTTGCTCTGCTGCGAATGCATGCTGCTCCTTTCTACCGCGTGCTGCTATACACTGGCTGCGTGTGGCTGCTGCGTCTCCTTGCTTCTGCTTGCTGCTGCACAGTTTGGTCTGGCGCCGCTTGCCTTGCGTTCCTGTTGCTCGCTGACGCCTGCTGCCAGTCAGCAGTGCTCGATGTTGCAAAATGCTGCTGGTCGTTGCCGCTTGCCGATGTGTGCATCATTTACTCTGCCGCTCGGTGCTAGTGGCCACTGGTCGCGGCAGCAAGTCGCTGCTGGCTGGATCTGCTTGTGTGGCTGTGGTTGTCTGCTTCTGCTGCCCGCAGCTTGCCGCTGCGGAATGCCATTGCTGCGTGCTGCTGCTTGCGTGTTGCTGATCCTTCTTTTGCTCTGTTGCAGCTGCATGCTTCTCCTTTCTAACGCGTGCTGCTGTCTTCTGGCTGCTTCTGTAGGGGGCCACATGCGAACCCTACCCTCCCCCTCAGAAATCGTGGGGGGTGGGGGTAGGGTTCGCACGTGGCCCCCTATTCTGGCTGCCGCTGCTCCTTGCTCTGCTGCTGCTGTAAGCTATGCTGCTGCTGAAAGGTCTGGGGCACGTTTGGAGTGTCCTGGGGACGCTTCAGCAACTCCAGGACCCTCTGAAAGCTCGTCGGGCTGTCTTGGACACTCTTGGGCCCTATTGGGGGCATCCTTGGGCCATTCGGGGCAAGTTTACGGCGCTTCGAAGCTCACGTTCCTTAGGGCCCTTCTTGGGGCGACTTGGCGCGCCGTGGGTTGACTCATGCCGTTTTCAGGCTACTCTGGATTTTCGTCGGTGGCTAACGGGAGCGCCCAGTGGGTTGTCTCGGCGCCCTCGTGGGAATTGGGGGACTTGTTTTGTCGCCGTCGTGGGTTCTTCTTGGGGCATTGAGGCTCCCCGAAGCCATCCTGAAGCCATCCTAGAGCATACAAGCATGAGCCACACACCAGAACTCAACACATCAGGTGGTCTGTTCCTTCATTCTCCGTCTCGCCTCCTCCCTGCCGCACCGTCACGTGTCCCGCCGTCTTCTCTCCTCTCCTTCTCTCTCCACTCCTCTCGTGTCCTCACCTCGGGGTGCTGCCGCGAGTGCAACCGCCGACACTTACCTTCGCCTTTGGGGGCTCTAGTGGAGTAGCGCGACACACGTATTCGACTCGTTCCTGCACCACTGGGGCGTCCATCGGGATGGTGCGGCATACGCATCCACCAGACTAAACATGCAAGCGTCGTTTTTTCTCCTGCGCCCTGGGGAGGGTCCAGCTCACCTGCGCGACACAAAGATCCAACTACACCTCGCGCGCTGTGGGTTGTGCCGAACGGACAACCACTGCCACCCTCCTGCGTCGCCTGCGTGTTCAGCGGAAGGGCGCGACACGCAAATCCAACTAGACCTCGTCACATTGATTGGTCCTGCTGAACCTATAGCTACCGCAAACCTGGCCATCGCTCGGACGTCTATTCCCTGTGTTTTTTTCGGTTTCGTGCATGGTTTTTTCGCCAAATGATCAAGGATGCTCCTCGATGGTCCTCGCCGAGGAAGAAACGCACACGTCCGAGCGATGCCAAGAAACTTCCTGCGCGAATGGGGAGGCCCCCACGCACAAGCACACACGAGCGACGACGGGGGCAAGAGGTCGGCCGCTCATGGGGCGAGGTCGGCGTCGCGCGGGTTCGCGCGAAGTGCGCGCAGGAACCGGACGGTGGCGCGCAGGAATGGGGAGGCCCTCACACGGAGCAATCAGACCGGCTCTCCCCGGGTGCTGCCAACCCAGACCTCACCTCCATGGGTGCAGGCGTGTCGGTGACGCCCGGCTCCTGCGCTCCACGGGGGCCCTCGCCGCGCTTCCCCAGATGCTGCCGAGCGTGCAGCTGTCGCTCTCTGGCTTCACCCCCTGGGGGGTCCAGCGGGGTGCTCCTTAGCAGATGAATCCAGACCCCGTCTCCCTGGGTGCTGCCACCGTCTTGGGCGGCTTTGGTACGTCCCTGGGCAGTGCCGCCTGCGACCTCCCTTTGGAGCCTCCTCGGGCCTCCCAGTCTTCTCTGGTTCACCTCGTAGGGCCTCTGCGACCCTCTGGGAGAGTTCGTCGGCCGACTTCGAGCACTTCTGGGGCCTCTGGGGATGTCGGGGGTCTCTGTAGGCTGTCGTCGGGCCATCTTAGGCCGTCCAGGGAGCCTCGTAGGGCGCTCTGTGAGTGCCAGGCCGATTTTGCAACCAATGATCCCCGCACTGAAGGCACACACACCTCATCGACCAAATAGATGATAGTGGGTTCCACCTTCACCTCCCACATCTTGCTGAGCAACGCCAAGGCCCACTGCCACTGGTCGCCCTTCCTGCACGCGCTGATCCCGGCGTTGTAGCTGACCAAGGCTGAGCCGTGGACTACGCCCACGAAGGCAAAGTCGACGATGCTCCTCGGCTGAGGTCGGTCCTCCTACAGGCGGACTTTGGAGGACAATCGAAAAGTAGTCTACAAAAACATCAAACATAGTCAAATGAGCAAGAGCAGTTATTGAATATTCCCCTCGGCTTGCTGCCATTCCAGTGCTGCACTCCACGGCAGCGGCGACGGCAGCGGGCCTACCGCTGGTGGTGCTGCTGCATCTGGTACAGCAACTTTCAGGACACGGATGGCCCACAGGCAGAAGCTTGGGACCACAAGGAGCATATCTCTGGGCCCCGCGGAGCCACCTTGGCTGCTCTTGGGCGCTGGAGGGGGTGCCTTGAGGTTATCTTGGAACGGTCCTGGGCCGCCTTGGAGGCCGTGTGAGTAATAATTTCCGTGGTCCGCCTTCCGCCTTGAGGTCATACCTTCTGTGGTCCGTCGTCGAGGCGCGTCAAGCCATTTCGAGGCCGAATAGAGCACTGCCGTTGCGGAAGGTCCCAGGGAACAGGAGAAAAGAGCACGGAGCGAGAGGGAATGAGGGGAGAGAAACCAGGAGCTGTGATAGAGGAGCGGTGAGCAACGGGCGAGGAGCCATGCGAGACGAGAGATGGCCGATGGGGCAAGGAGCGCACCAATCTTGCAGTGGCCTCGACGCGCACGCGTCTGGCAACTTGGTGCTCTTGGAGAGTGTATGACGCCGTCGTGGGGCCGAATGGGGGCCTTCCATTGGACTCTGGATTAAGTCGGGCCTGTCCCCCTACAGGGGGATTTTCCCCCCCCCCCCCCCCCCCCCCAAAAAAAAATACACCGAAAATGCTCAAACAAGCATCCAAACATAGTCTGGGGATTATTTGTTGAATATTGTTTGACCTTCTTGGGGTATTTTTTGGGGATTGAAAATTTTCCGTCGAAAATCCCCCTGTGAGGGGGACACGCAAGACATAACTCTTGGATTGAAAACATCCCCAAGCCTCCAGGGCTTCTGCTGGGGCCTGCTGGGGTGAGGCCATCCCCGGCCTCCTGGAGTCACCTGGGGCGGCGCTCGGGGCCACTGGGATTAAGACGGGACTCTCCCCCTACAGGGGGATTGTCTACGAAAAATAGAAAAAGGCCCCAACAATACCTCCAAAAGGACAACAAATATTCAAAACATAGTCCCCAGACTATTGTTGGATTTTTTGGTTACTATTTTTTGACAATTTCTTATTTTTTTCGTCGAAAATCTCCCTGTAGGGGGACACGCCCGACTTAACACTGGGAGCTGTTTTGGGTGGGTCTGGGGACGATGACGGGGTGCCTTGTGCCCATGCTGGGGGCCTCTCGTACCGTCTCGAGGGCCACCAAGGCCCGTGTTGGAGCCCTCTAGGACCCTCTTGGGGCGCCCTGGAGCGTTCCTGGGCGCTCTTGGACCTCTCTGGGGCCATCCTGGAGACCCCTTGGCAGGTCCAGCGCTGCTGGTGCAACGTCTTGAGGAGGAGGAGGAGGAGGAGGAGGAGGAGGAGGAGGAGGAGGAGGAGGAGGAGGGAGGAGGACGAGGAGGAGGAGGAGAGTGGAGGAGGAGGAGGAGGAGGAGGAGGAGGAGGAGGAGGAGGAGGAGGAGGAGGAGGAGGAGGAGGGGGAGCAGGACGAGGAGGAGCGCCCCAGTGGCGCCGCTGGGAGCGCGCCGGGGCCTGCGGGCCGAGCTCCAAAGCAACCCGATCCTGGCGACCTTTCCGGCACGCGGAGCGCCCGGCGGCGCAGAGGTGACGGCATTGGGCTGCAGCTTCGCACCCCGCATCTCGCCGAGCAGCGCCAGCGCCTGCTGCCACTGGCCCCCCTTCTCGCACGCGCTGACTCCGGCGCTGTAGCTGAAGACGTTGGGCTCCACCTGCGCCGCCCGCACCTCGTGGAGCAGCGCCAGAGCCCGCTGCCACTGCTCGCCCTTCTCGCACGCGCTGATCCCAGCGCTGTAGCCGACGACGTTCGGTTCCAACTTTGCGTCGAACATCTCTCCAAGCAAGACCAAAGCCCGCTGCCACTGCTGGCCTTTCTCGCACGCGCTGATCCCAGCGCTGTAGCTGACCAGGGCTGATCCGTGGACTATGTCCACGACGTCTGCTCGAGGTGGCGAGCGGTGTCTGGGCAAGCGTGCTTGCACCTGCCTGGTGCATTTTATAGCCGCCTGCTGTTGCTGAGGGCTGCTTGTTACCACTTGCGGCCTTTCGTTTGCCTGCGGCAACGGCTTGCTACGGACTGGTGCATGTGCTAGCTGTTGCCTGGTGGTGGATGTTACCGCCAGCCTGCTGCTGCATGCTGCAAGATGCGACTTGGCACTGGTGGTGTCAACGCGTGCTACTGCTGCAGCTGCTGCTCGCCGTTGCTTTTGTTCCCTGAGGCTGAATCCTCCTCCACCTTCTCCGTCCCTCCACCCTTCGCCCCCTCGATGATCCATCGTGCCAATCGTCGTTTCTACGACGACGCTTCCAAGAACACAAGCATCCACTGCCTCTGGGGGCCTAGCGGATATTGAAAAATTTGGCGAACATTCGCCGCCGATCTCGGTAGGCGGCCCGTTTCCGGGTTCCAAATTCTGGGTTCCTGCTCGCCGTTTTGGGGTTCGGGATTGGTCTTGGCGATTGTTCGCCGCCGATTTCGGTAGGCGGCCGGGTTCCCGGATTCCCGGTTCTGGGTTCCGCGTTCTCGTTTCCGGGCTCCAGATTGGTCTCGGTGGGCGGCTGGGTTCCGATTTCTGGGTTCTGGGTTCCCGTTCCCGGGTGCCAGATGGGTCTCTGTGGGCGGCTGGGTTCCCGTGCTCCTGGTTCCTGGCTCCGGGGTTCGCCATAGGAGTAGAATATGTACATGTATAGACCATAAACAGGGAGCGGGATGGGTACGGAGTGGATCTGTGCATGTACCAATGCGTATCAAAAAGATTACACCTGAGAAAACCCCAATCAGTAGATAATTTGAAAATTGATGCTATGGATCTTGAGATCGATTGTGAGATCGATAATGAGATCAATCGTGGAATCGATAGTGAGGACGATTGCAAGGTCGATCGTGAGACCGAGAGTGAAATCGACTCAATGAGATCGATAGTGAGATCGATCGCGAGATCGCTCATGCGATCTCTAGTGAGATCGCTTGTGAGATTGATAATGGGATCGACTGTGAGATCGATCGAGAAAAGGGTAATGAGATCGATGGTGAGACCGATCGATAAGAAAATCGACCAGGAACCCGGGAACCCGGGAACCTCGCCGCCTCCGAAATCGGCCCGGAACCCCGAACCGGGAACCCGGGAAGCCGGAACCGGGAACCCTGGAACCCGGGAGCCCAGACGGCGACCAAAATCGGCGGGGCACTTTCGCCAAATCCTTCAACATCCGCGAAGACCCCTTCAGTGCAAGCAGTGATTGGGGAACATTGAATGAGATCCGCCATGAAATCGACAATGAGATCGGTAGTGAGATCGATAGTTAACCATCGGCCCGGAACCAATGATCAGGAACCCGGGAACCCAGAACCGGGAACCCGGGAACCAATGAGATCCGAAATGCGACAGTGAGATCGGTAGTGAACCATCGGCCCGGAACCACTGACCACAAACCCAGGAACCCGGGAACCCGGAACGGGGAACCCAGCGTGCCACCAACATCGGCGAGGTACTTTCGCCAACTCTCTAGGAACATCCGCGAGGACCCCATTCAGTGCAAGCACTGATTGGGGAATCTGCGCGCAGCACTTACACATGTGGCAATATACATATGATATATATACACATGTATATATATGGAAAGAGAGAGAGAGAGAGAGAGAGAGAAAAAAAAAAAATCGAAGCGAGAGAGAGAGAGAGAGAAAAAAATCTGAGCGAGAGAGATAGAGAGACAGAGTGAGAGAGAGAGAGAGCGAGAAAGAGCGAAATTATATATTTATATATATATATATGTATATATATATGTATATATATATATTTATAGAGAGAAAGAAAGAGAGAGATAGAGAGATCTAAGTAAGAAGCAACACATCCACTCATTGGGACTTTTCTCGGCCCATGAGAGAACACTCGAAGGGCCCTCTCCTGAGCTGTGTTCGGGGACCTCTTGGGAGCATCGTGGGTGGGCGTGGGTCATCTTCGGGACCCCTTCATTGGGCCGAGTGGAGCGCCGAGGGGGTGGTCTATAGGGCTCTGCGGAGGCCCTCCCCTCGCCATCGCTCGGGCGTCCATTCCCTGTGTGCTTCTCGGTTTCGTGCGTGGTTTTTTCGCCAAATGATCAAGGATGCTCCTCGACGGTCCTCGCCGAAGGAAACATGCACACGTCCGAGCGATGCCAAGTCCTGGGGCATTCTTGAACAGGCTTGGAGACCTCTGTGAGCGTCTTGGTGCCCCTCTGGCGGCCGCCTTTGGGGCGTCTCCTTGGGCTGTCCTGGGGGCCGCTTGGGGAAATTCCATCACCTCCCGTCGAGTCTGTTCGGAGCAATGATCGGCCCGGCGCGTCGCTTTGCGAGAATCTTCTCTCGGAGAGAGCAATCTCACAAGATAGGCGGGAGGAGGACGACGAGGAGGAGAAGGAAGGTCGATAACGAGGAGGAAGGTCGAGATGGAGGATGATGATGATGATGATGATGATGATGATGAGGAGGAGGAGGAGGAGGAGGAGGAGGAGGAGGAGGAGTGGGCCCACTTGTCCTGTTTGATTGGTGGAGAAGCGGAAACCAGGGGGGGTCGTAGCAGCGGGCCGTTTCAGGCAGGAGGCGCAGCTGTCACAGCAAGAGGTGCAAAAAGCGCTTGGAGGCAGGATAGGCAGCCCCCATCTCGACGGATGCGCGCACGCGGGTAATAGTTCAGGAGAGAAGTCGGAGAGGAGGGCCGTGAGTCAAATTTCGTTTCCGCCTTCGTGAGTCTGTTTGATGCTGATTTGTTGTTGCTGTCTGGGTACCCCTGGAAGCCTTTGTAGAGGCCCCTGGCGCCGTCTTTGGAGCTTCTCAGGTCTTTGGGCCCTTCTTGGACCCATCTGAGACTTGGTCTTGGGCGGCCTTGGGGCCGTCCTGAGGGTCGCTTGGACAATCCCGGGGCCATCAAGGGTCTCTTTGACCCTCAGGACTGTAAAACGGATTCGCGCGAGCCCCTAGGTGCAACTCACTACATGCTGGACAGTGCAACATGGGACAGCGAGTGGAAGCATCCTTGATGTGAAGGTAGGGTGATATGAGCGGCCGACTTATACGATGGCTTGGTGACAGGGTGAGTCGGAGGGAGTCCCAGAAGCATTCGTAGCTCCTCATCGTCCTACCCCTGCATCTCATGCTGCTCCTTGATGCTGCTTGCTACTGCGTGCTGCTGCTTGCATACTGTGGCGCGCTGTTGTTTGACGCTTGCTGCTGATGCTTGCTGCGGTTGCTTGCTGCTGTTGCTCCCTGCCGCTCCGTGCGGCTGCTTGCAGCTACTACCTGCTGCTGCTTGCCTATGATGACTGCTCCAACTTTCTGCTGTTGCTGCTTGCTGCTGCTGGCAGCTCCCGGCTGCTACTGCTTCCCGCTGGCTGCTGCTGGCTGCTGCTGCTCCTGAGGGGTCTCGGCACACTTCTGGAACCCCTTGGGCCTCCCGGGCCACATCTTGGGGCCCTCCTGCGGCTCCTTGGGGCACACGTGACAACTCCTGGGGGGCCGGCACGAGGCTCGTGGCATGTTGGGGCTCTCTCGGGCCATCTTGAGGCGCCTCGGGGCGCTCCACCCAGGCCTTCTCTGGGGCCGTCGTCCCTGACCTTCCAGAGAGCTATGTTTTTTGCACTGGAGGCCTAAAAACCTAAAAGACTGCGCGAAACAGCTTAAAACCAAGACGTCGATTAGCTCTAGGATAGGTGTTTAGGTCGGGTGCTGTTTTTTTAGCCCTCCTGGAAGGTCAGGGGTGGAAGCCCCCCGAGGAGGGGGGGGGGGGAGCAACCCTGGGCCGTCCGGGGGCCGCATCGGACTCCTTCGCGCCCTCTCTCGTGAGCTCTGGGCGGCGTCCTGCGGCGCGCCCTGGGGCCCCCCTCTCGCTCGCAGCAGCGCCCGGGAGCCCACCAAGGGGGGGCCCCGAAGCGCGGGGGGGCCCTTACGCATCTCGAGCCCTGCCCTGCGCCCGTGTGCGGCGCCGTCGGGGGGCCGCCCCCGGGCCGAAGCAGCCGCCTGCCGCGCCGAGCCAACCGCGGGGGGCATGCTCACATGCGCTGCCGCGAAGAACACAGGAGGCCAGGACGGGACGACGCTGGGCTCCAGCCTCGCCTGCCACACCTCGCGGAGCAGCGCCACAGCCCGCTGCCACTGCTCGCCCTTCCCACACGCGCTGACCCCAGCGTTGTAACTGACTAGGGCTGACCCGTGGACTCCGTCCACGACATCTTTCTGGAATGGTTCTCGGAGGAACGGCGCAGATTGTACCGAAAATCTACAAACACGGCGGCGGCTCGGGCGGCGGCAGCGAGACCGCGCCTTCGTGTCCGAGCTCTTGCAGCGCTGCAGCAGCTTGGCCCAGCGCACTGCTCGTTCACCCCCCTCCTATTGAGGACAGTTTCGAAGTCTCTCGGGGATGTGCGTCGAAGTCGAAGCCCATCTGAGGCGTCTCAGGAGCGCTCGGGGAAGGGCTCGGGAGGCCATCGGGGAAAGCCACCGAAAGCGCCGGGGAGGCTCGCAAGGATCTACAGGGAGGGCCCAAGAGAGCTTCAAGAAAATTTGAAATCCAGTGAACTCTTAAGAGAAACCGCTGTTGGGTCGGCCATCACCTCCGGGCGCGCCTTGATGGTGCGATCCAGTCGCATCACCGCCAACGGGAGGGTTTGTTCGCCATGTCCCATTCTGTTCGCCCAGAGGGTCTGTGGAGGCCTTCGGGCGAACAGAACGGGACAGGGCAAGGAATGGGGAAGACATGTCCGAATCTCCTGGGCCCCCCAGATGCTCGTCCGAAGAATGCGGAGAGGTCCCAGGGTCATATCAATTGGCTGCTGTCCCAGGGGTCCGGTCTGCTTGGCCCGAAGAGTTTGCCAAGGCCCCTGGGGGAACAGAATGGCACAGCATATCGGGCAAAGGGGGGCGGTAGCTGGCCTGTCAGACCCGGCGTTCGTCTTCTGCCCAAGCGGCGCGGGGCCCACGGGCCCCAGGGTTGGCGTCCCGCTGGGATTCCTCTTGTTCGCCCACAGGGTTGGAGGAGGCCTCCAGGCGAACAGAATGGGGCAGGACAATGAATGTGGGAGACTTGTCGCAAGCTCCCAGCCCCCCCAAGTGTGCGCCCGAAGGGTGTGGGGCCGCGTTGGCTCCCTCAAAGGGCCGTCTTGGAGCCGTCTAGGCCCGTCTTGAGGGCGCCGTTTGCCCTGATGGGGCCGTCTTGGTTCGTCGTGGGCCCCTCATGGGCGCGTCCGTAGGCCGTCCTGGGCCCATCGGGGTCCTCGTGGGGCTGTCTTGGAGCCGTCTGGGACCGTGAGGAGGCCGCCTTGGAGTCTTCTTGGGCCCCTCCTGTGCGCCTCCTTGGGCCGTCCTGGGCCCAGCAGGAGCCGTGTTGGTACCCTCTTGGGGCTGTCTTGGAGCCGTCTTGAGCCGTTGCAGCGCGCCTTGGGTTGTGCTGGGTCCGTCTTGGCCCGTCTTGGGGCCTTCCTGGGCGGTTCCTCGGACCCTCCTGGGGCTTTCTGGGGCCTCTTGGTGAAGCTCGGAGGCGGGCTCGAGGCCTCTTCGGGGCCATTTTGGAAGCTGTTGGGGCCTCTGTAGGGGCCTCGTTTGGGCTCCTTGGGAGCCTCCTGGGGCCTCTTCGGGTGATTCTTGGCGGCCCCTTGGGGCCTCTTGGGGGCCTGTTTGGGCCTCCTGGCGCCCTCTTGGGGCGGAAGGCTCGGATTTTCGGTCCGTGGTCCCCCTCTTGGCCCCCTCTTGGGCCTGTCTTCGGGCCCTCGTGGGCCGTCTTGAGCGTCTCTTGGGTCGTCTTGGGGCCCTCTTGGGCTGTCTTGGGGCGCTCTTGGAAGCCTCTTGGGCCGTTCTGGGGCGCTCTTGGAGGCCTCTTGGGCCGTCTTCGAGCGTTGGAAAGCGGAAAAGGCGAGAAGGCCAAAATCCTTCCAAAACCGTCGTAAAGCGGACGATTTTGAGCCCCAAACCGTCCAAAACCTCCTGAGGCGGTCCCCTCGTCCGCCCCCCTCGCTTCGAAGCAGTTTTTAAGCCCCGTGGCACCTCTTGGGGATCTCTTTTGGGCTCCTGGGGGCCTCTTGGGCCTCCACTGGATTCGCTGCCCTCGGTCGGCAATCGTCGATCCTACGACGACTCTCCCCAACGGAGAAACATCGAAGGCCCTCGGAGCGTCCAACATTGTTCTTTTGTGCCTTCGATATGCCGGTCGCCTCTCGTCCGCTCCCCCCCTCCTGGAAGCAATTCTGAAGCCACTTAGGGCTTCGTGGGGGCCGTTTGGGGATCTCTTGGGGCGTTTTTGCCTGCGATATGCCTGTCGCCTCTCGTCCGCTCCCCCGCTCCTGGAGGGAATTCTGAAGGCACTGAAGGCTTCGTGGGGGCCGTTTCGGAGCCTCTTCGGCCTTCGTTTGGGCCTCCCGGGGGGGCTCTTAGGGCCCTCTCGGGCCGTCTTGGGTGCCTCTTGGGCCGTCTTGGGGCCGTCTGAGACCCGCCTCGGCGCCTCTTGGGCTGTCGTGGGCCGTCTTGGGCCGCTCCTGGGGTCGTCTTGGGTGCCTCTTGGGCCGTCTTGGGCGCCTCCTGGGCCGTCCTGGGGCCGTCCTGGGGCGTCTTGGGACCGTCTGGGGCCCTCCTGGCCCGTCTTGGGGCTCTCTTGGGGTCCTCTTCGGCCGTCTTGGAGCGGTCGGGGGGGCTTCTTGGGCCGTCTTGGAGCGTCGGGAAGCCGACGAGGCGAGGAGGCCGAAAACATCGAAAAACACAGTAGAAATCTACGATTTCTGTCGCTCGGGGCCCTCTTGGGAGGCCTCTTGGGAGGCCTCTTCGGGCGTCTTGGACGCCTCTTGGGCCGCCTGGGGCGGACCTCGGGCGTCTTGGGCCCATCTTTAAGCGTGCCGGGGCTCTCCGGGGCCGTCTTGGGGGCTTCGGGGGGCCCTCTCGACATGTCCTGGGGCCTGCCTGGGCGGCCCGGGGCCAGCCCGGGGCGGTTTTGAGACATTTGAGCCTGCGCCCTTCTGGCACGCACGTGCTCCTGCAATGTAGTAGAGATGACGTCTGGCTCCAGCTCCGTCTCGCCCATCTGCCGGAGCAGCGCCAGAGCCCGCTGCCACTGCTCGCCTTTTTCGCAGGCGCTGATCCCAGCGCTGTAGCTGAACAAATTGGGCTCAATCTTCGCCTCCCGCATTTCGCTGAGGAGCACCAAGGCACGTTGCCACTGCTCGCCCTTCTCGCAGGCGCTAATCCCTGCGCTGTAAGTCAAGACGTCGGGCTCCAGCTCCGCTTCACAGACCTGCCTGAGAAGAGACACAGCCCACTGCCACTGCTCACCCTTCCCGCACGCGCTGATCCCAGCGCTGTAGCTGACTCGGGGTGACCAGTTGACTACGTCCTCGAGATCTGCCTGAACTGGCATGTGGTGGTGGACATGCTGCCAAAAAGCTGACATGATTATGTGGGTCTCGAACTTCGCATTCCGCGCATGCCACTGCGTACTGCTGCTTGCAGCCGCTGCTGCGTGCTGTTGGCAAGCTTGCCGCTGCTGCGTATTGTTGCTGCTCGCTTCTACTTGCAGCCGCTGGTGCTGTGTGCTGTCGGGGCCTCTTGGCTTGGAGCCAGGTGTGGGCATCTTGGGGGCCTCCTGGTGCTTTCAAGGGGCCTCTTGGGGGCCTGTTGGCCGTCTCGGGGGCCATCTCGGGACGGAGGGCGCGGAATGTCAAGTGGCCCCCTCGGGGGGGCCGCTCGGGCGGTCTGGGGGCACTCTTAGGCCGTTTGGGGGCTCTCTCGGAGATCTGTTAGGCGGTGCTGGGGCGCTCTTGCGGACCTCTTAGGCCGTCTTGCAGCGCCGAGAATCCGAGAAGGCGAGATAGCGAAAACCCTTCAAACACACAAGGGAATGCAAAAACTTTGGCCTCGCGGGGCCGCTTGGGGGCATCTTGGAGCTCCCTTGGGCCCTACAACACAAGCGCACCATGCAAGGCGTCAGGAAGGAAGCGAGGAGGTACGTCTCGGCGGACGGTGCTTTTACCCTGTGTGCCACGAGGACTTTCGGCAGAGTTCCCGCTGCATTCGTCGCCTCTCGAGACCCCCCCCCTCCACGCATGCACAGAGATACTACAGTAGGAGCTCGACCAGAAGAAAGCTTCCACAAGAAACCCAACCCTGAACCCCCAGGAAGCCCAACGATCATTCGCGTGGGAACGCAACGTTTTCCATCGTAGAACCATCGAACTCCAAGAAACCAAGGATACCCTGGAGGGAAGCAGGGCGTTTTTTTTGAAAATGGGCTCTCACTGGACCTGTGCAGCCCCTGGACAGGGACAAGAACGAGGCCCCGTGCCGGCAGGTGTGCACGGACGGGCATGCCGAGACCCCCGGGCTGCAGGAGCGCGGGAGACCGCGGCAAGGTGCACCACGGAAGGTACCCCGAGCTGAGCTGAGGAGAAGCGGAGGGGGGAGGGGTCTGGCTCTGGACCTCTGCTTCGTGCGACGGTTTGCGACAGTGCGCCACGTCGGGGGAGGCTCCACCCGCTCGAAACGGGCGCCAAAGACGGCCAGGGGAGGAGGGGTAGGGGGGGGAGGGGGGGGGGAGGATGTGAGGGCATCGCCGATCGGCAAAACAACGACCAAGAGAACGATCACACATTGGCGACCTCTTGGACCGTCTGACAGCGTCTGGACCAAAAACAGCCAAGGGAGGAGGGGTGGGGGGGAGAGGGGGGGAGGATGTGAGGGCCGCGCCGATCGGCAAAACAACGAACAAGAAGACGATCACACACTGGCGACCCCTTGGACCGCCTGGGAGCGCGTCTGAGGCCATCCTGGCCCGCGTCGGAGCCCGCCGCGGCCTGCTCGGGCCCGCCCTGGGGGCAGGCTTGGGCAGTCTTGGGGCCGTCGTGAGGCGCCCAAGGGCCCTCTCTCCTCCCTCCTCCCCTCTCCCCCCCCCTCCTCCTCCTCCTCCTCCTCCTCCTCCTCCTCCTCCTCCTCTGCCTCCTCCTCCTCTTCTTCTTCTTCCTCCTTCTCCTCCTCCTCCTCCTCCTCCTTCTCCTTCTCCTCGTCCTCCTCCTCCTCCTCCTCCTCCCCTCTTATTCTTCCTCTTTTATTACGTTGACCCAACCTGAATCCTACGATTGTGGCGTTCTTGAGTGGAAAAATAAGGCCCTCTCGGGGGCCTGTTGGGCGTGGAGCGATATTTGGGCCCTCTCGGGCCGCCCTGGACCGTCGGACGCCCGGAGAGGCGAGAACGGCAACATAATTAGGTGACAAGCAGAAGGGAGAATCGACGCCTTGGCCCTCGCGGGGCACGCTTTGGGGGGCCTCTTGGAGCCCTCTTGGGGCTCTGCAGGCCGTCTGACTGCGATGTTGGTGACCTCTTGGGCCGTCTGGAAGCGTCTCGGGCCATCTGGGCTAGTCTCCCAGCCCGCCGGGGCCAACTGGGGCCCGCTGTGAGCGCTTTTAGAAACTCGAGCCGCGTCCCAATGGTCACCCTTCTAGTCTGCGCTTCTCCCAGCCACATCTATATTTATATACAAGACTGCAGTGGCGCTTCGCACCATGCACCTTTGTCCTTGAACTTTGGTATGCAGGCGGAATAGCAAGAGGGTCAAGCCAAGCCGACAATTTAGCGATAACTCCTGGTTGCCTTTTCCGGCATCGCCGCTGTAAGAATGTGATTCGTTATCCTTCATCCATGCTTCTTTTTCCATATTTCCGCCATATCCTGCGCATTCTCCCCATCCTCCTCAGCTCTTTTTTGCGGAGGCTCCTCCTTGGAGAGCCTCTAGGGGCCTCACAAAAGTTGTTTCGGGCTTTCTTGAGCCCTTCTGGAGGCCTCCTGGGCGTATTCTGGGGGCCTCCAGGGGCTTCCTCGGGCCACCCTGCCTCCAACCGCGGTCTCCCTGAACGACCGAATCACGATTTGGAATTCTTCGGAGGGTGTCTTTGGGCCATCTTAGGCCGCCATGGGGCTCTCTGAGGGCCATCTTGGACCCGTGTTGTGCCGTTTTGGGGCTCTCTTGGACTGCCTGGAAGCCCTTTCGGATGGTTGTGGGGCGATTTGGGAGCCTCCCAGGCGGCTTCGGACGCCCAGAAGACCGCCGTCTTGGAGCGTCGAGAAGCCGAAAAGAGCAGAACTCCCAAATTCATCAAAAACCGATAGAAAATCAATGATTTTTGCCTCGGGGGGCCTTCTTGGGAGTGCTCTTGGAGGCCTCTTTGGGGCCGTCCTGGAGGCCTCTTGGGCCATCTTGAGGTCACGTCGGTCACTCTTGGAGCGCTCTTGTGCTGTCTTGGGGGTCTCTGGGACGTCTCCGATGACCCCCTGATCGCCCTAGGTTTGCTGGAAAGGCTTGGCAAAACGCCCTGCGAGGCCCGGTGGCCGCTTCGAGTCCCGTCTGGAGGGTCTGGAGGCTCCAAGGAGCCTCCGCAAAAAAGAGCCGAGGAGGATGGGGAGAATGCGCAGGGTACGGCGGAAAAAAAGAAGCATGGAGGAAAAATAACGAATAACATTATTACAGTGGCGATGCCAGAAAAGGCAACCAGGAGTTATCGCTAAATTGTCGGCTTGAACTTCCTGCTATTCCGCCTGCATACCAAACTTCAAGGACCAGGGTGCACGGCGCGAAGCGCCACTGTAGTCTTGTGTGTATATATATATAATAAAAAAAAAAGATGAAAGAGAAAGGAGAGTGGGCAGCTAAAGGTCCATCTCTTGGGGCTCGGGAGGTGTGGGGCCATCTTGGGGCCGCCTTGGCGGCTTCTGGGGTCGTCTGGTGAGTCACCTGGGCCATCTTGGAGCCCGGTCGGGCCGTTTGGGGCTCTGTTGATCCGTCTCGGGGCCCTCTCTGCGGCCGTTCGGGCCGTCGTTGATCGATCTCGTGGAGTCTGCGGCCGTCGTGGGCGATCTAAGCGAGAGAGCTTCAAGAACCTCAGGAACATGAGCAGACTTGAGGGGGGCGCCCTCGTGGCCGCCTTGGGGCGTGCTTGGTCTATCTTGGGGCTCTCTGGGGCGGTCTTGGAGCCATCTTCGGCGGTCTCGCGCCTCTCTTCGAACGTCTTGGAGATCTCGTGGGGCCCCGTTGGGCCATCCCCGGGGCGCCCGGGAGCCCGCCTGGGCCCGCCGGGCCGGCGTTGATCCACCTGATTTGGGCACCCTTCTGGCACATGGCGTCGTGGCATTGTAGAATTAGGTCGGGCATGTCCCCCTACAGGGGGATTTTGGACGAGAAATAAAAAATTGCCCAACAATGCACAGAGAAGATTCCAGAATGGTCCAAAGTCGTCCCCATGCTATGCTGTGACTATTTTTGAATATTCCTCCTGTAGAGGGACAGGCCCGACTGAATTGCAGAAGGGAGGAGGTGACGTCTGGCTCCAGCTTCACCTCCCACATCTCGCTGAGCAGCGCCAACGCGCAATGCCACTGTCTGCCCTTGCTGCATGTGCTGACAGCGGCCATGTAGTAACCTGTACTGGCTGTCGAACTACTTCGGGACGCTCCGCGGAGTAATTCTAACGCTGCGGTCCACTGCTTTGTCCTTCCACACTGCTTAATGGCTGCCTCGACGGAGGGATCTTGTCGACGCGCCCCTCGCTTGAGTTCCAGCATTGGCCCGAGGCCTCCAGGAGTTCCCCAGGCGAAAGTCCAGCCATGTGCAGGCGTGCCTGCCACGGGTTAGGTGGGAAGGAGGAAAAGGGCACGAACGAGTGCGTTTTCCACTTGGGCCACGAGGGTGCGTCTCTCTAAGCGGGCCACGAGGCGTGTGAGGTGTGCGCCAGAATATGCGCGGGGACGCCTGCGGGCTCCGCTACTGCGGCCTTCAGTGGAGCTCCCAACGTGGCCACGAAGCGTGCGACTGGTGGTGCGAAATGGGCACGGGGACGCATGCGGGCTTTGCCGCTTGGGCCTTCGGTCGAACTCTCCATGGGGCCACGAAACGTGTAAGGGTGTGCCGAGCCTGGCACGGGTACGCATGCGAGCTTCAACACTCGGGAATCTGGTGGAACTCCCCGTGGGGCCACGAAGGGTGCGAACGATGTGGGGAAGGGAGCGCGGGGACGCACGCGGGGGTTGCCACTGCGGCTTCCGGTGGAACTCGCCATGGTGCCACGAAACGTGCGAGGGGTGTGCCGACATGGGTGCGGGGACGCATGCGGGCTTTGCCACTGGGGGTTTCGGTGGAGCTTCCTGCTGAGCCACGAAGCGTGTGAGGGGTGCGTTTACAATGGGCGACGGGGCGCAGGCAAGCGCTGCCCTTTGGGCCTTCGGTGTGCCCCCCGCCGTGAGGCCACGAATCGTGTGAGGAGCGCGCTGGAATGCGACAGATGTCGAGGATGATGGCGATGATGCTGATAGAGATGATGGTGGTGATGAGGATGCTGATATTCGGGGATGGACAGGCCTCCCTTTAGCAAAACGTGGCTTAGTGAAGACGACCTCGGGTCCAAACCTGGCGGGCGCAAGCCTGGAAAATAACGGCCGCGGCTCCCTCTCCAGAACCGAAAATGGACAATTCACAAATCGACGTGTCCGGGTGGGGGTTCTGTTCACCCCCGAGATATGGTGAAGCTGAGCATCCAGAGGACAGCGCGGAAAGGAGGAGGATGAAGCAGGAGGACCCATCACCACGATAGGGTTGGGAACGGAGCTGGCTTGAGCCGAAACGGCTAGGGATGAGGCCTCCTCCTCCTCCTCTTCCTCCTCCTCCTCCGCATGGTTGTCTCCTCCTCCTCCTCCTCCTTCTCCTCCTCCTCCGCATGTTTGCCTCATCCCCCGGAGCATGTGAAACGACTGCACGATAATGTTGCCGATCTAACTCGACATCGATGGGCAAAGCATGCGCCGATGTATGGGCACGGGCACACCTCCTCCTCCTCCTCCTCCTCGTCTTCCTCCTCCTCCTCCTGCATCCTCCTCCTCCTCCTCCTCCTCCTCCTCCTCATCCTCCTCCGCATCCTACCCGGCCTCCTTCCCCACTTGCCTTTTCTGCGGCGAGCGAATGGATCCCGCGACCGCCCTTTCCCTGCCACAACCCTCCTCCCTGTCGTCACAACCCTCCACTGCCTGGACAGCGTGGACAACGTTGGTGGCTACCGCAAGCTCGCACGTCACCAAGGAGTAGAAGAAGGAAAAATAGGACGACGACGATGAGAAGATTCACTCTAGGGGATTCTATGGGAATCCTGGAGGGTCCAGACGGCGGAGGGGAGAGGAGAGCGCAGATGGAATTGGCGAGCAGGGCTGGTCCGTCACTCTCTGTCTCAGATTGGCGCCCAGCTCCTTCAGTTGATTCCCCTGCTTCTCTTGCCCCCTGCTCCTCATAGCAACAGCATCGGACGCAATAAGGTGAAGCCGCAACACAATTAGAGCATGCTGAGATGCGTGAGTGCCTGGCGAAACTATGGATGCCTACATGACGATCTGCAGCCGCGGCCTCTGGGATTCGCGGACCCCCCCGCCCTGATGACGCCATTAAGCCTCATCCAAGCCTTGCTCAACGGTCCAGCCCTGAGGGGGCGGGGTCGGGGGAGTCACACTGGCACCGTGTGCCCCGCTGGACGGTGTGGAGCTGAAACCGTGTGCTCAACTTCGGTGGACACTCATCCCAGTGAGCTGCCATCACAGAGCTCCGATGCATACAAGCACGATGCCATTTCTGGTAAACGCGCCGCCCAATGATGCTGGGCTCTCTGGCCACCAGTGATCGCGGCGCTAGGTGAACGTCACTAGCTCTACAAATATTCGAAATCGCGCCCAAGCGAGGAGAGTAGCAACCGAGCCGCAATGAACCATGTACCCAACACGCTGGCGGACCTTCTGCCCTGCGCAGACCTTCGATACGAGAGACTTCGCCCATGGACACGAACACATGCAGCACTCACAGCACATACAAGACAGGCAGCGCACACATCCATTACAACATATAGTGAAACACTGCAATACGTTTGGTAGCGATACGCTACGACCCGTACCACCAATTGCGTGCCGCTGCGTTTCGCTGCATTCACAAGATTTCGCAGCACATGGCATGCTGATGGCCGTAATACTGGATACGCCCGTGCACATCTTGGTGCGTGTACACGCAAACAAACACCCACAAACCCACACTAACGCACCTGCACACGCACACACACACACACACACACGCACACACACACACACGCAACCACACACACACACACACACACACGCACTTGTACTGATTGGCATCCTGGCCACGCGCGCGGCGGCGCGGCGTAGAACATGTCAAGCGGAGCGCGCACCAGCCTTGCCCACGCGACACACACACACATACAGACTTATCTATCGATGTAAATGTGTATACACATATGTATACGATTTCTGGAGATCGCGGTCCCGCGCGCAGCGACGAGGCGGAGCAAGCCAAGCACAGCGGACGAGACCCCGCGCGCGCTGGCCTTACAAGAGGGCCGCACCGTATGCTATCCGGGCGTGGGCGGCAGGGAAGCAGCAAGGACGAGCCACGAGGCCGACCACTGGGGGAGGGAAACCACGCAGCTACGAGCCACGGAATGGCAGACGCTCGCGGAGCGGATTACTGCTGACGAGCACACTTGTTTGTTTGGTCGGCGGGGCAAGAGCGAACCTCTTCCGCTGAAAGCTAGGCGGGCTACGCACAGCTCTAATTGGGGAGACAGGGCACCGTAAGGCGGTCCATATCATCCAGAAATTTGTCGATTATCCTGGGTTGCCAGCAGTTCGGGTCGAACGCGACCCGGTCTTTGGATTTGCCTTTGCCCTGCTCCTTACACATATGCCTGCACCACGAGTGCCAGGCTGCGGTGAAGTGGTATCCTCCCTCGGCCTGCAGCCTCTTCAGGTGACCACTACTGCTGACAAACACACACACACACACTCTCACACACACGCACGCACGCACGCACGCACGCACGCACGCACGCACGCACGCACGCACGCACGCACGCACGCACGCACACACACACACACACACACACACACACACACACACACACACACACACACACACACACACACACACTTGGCGTCGCAGAGTGGCGCGCCGCGGCGCTGCGTATAGAAAATCGGGTGAGGCACTCCGCCACCGTGCCCGGGTGGCACGCGTTGGAGTGTCCTCGGGCCCTTTGTTTTCATTGCATCAGGTCCTCCCCCTCTTCCCCCTCCTCCTCCCCCTCCCCCTCCTCCTCCTCCTCCTCCTTCTTCTCCTCCTCCTCCTCCTCCTCCTCCTCCTCCCCCTCCTCCTCCTCCTCCTCTCGGGCTGTTTAGTCCAATCCGCGCTGGCGCCGATTGTCTGTCGCAGCGAATCACGGCAGGAACCATGAGTGTCCTTGCCAGCCCACGCGTCCTTCAGGATGCATGGCAATCTTGCTTGCTTGCTTGCTTGCAGGTCCCTTGTTCGATCCCCTGGAGCCTCAGTCCTCAGCCCTGAAGATTACTGCAGGGGCCCGGATCCGAAATGGCCAAATCTCTTCGAGCGTCTCGCGGCTACTCTCGTGATTCGTCTGGCCCAAGAAGGCCCCAAGACGGGCCAAGGGGACCCCAGGCGGCCGCCCAGACGGTCCAAGAAGGCCCCGAAGTATCGCACGATCGGTCTGAGACGCCTCAGATGGCCCCAAGACGGACCAAGCAGCTTTCGAGGCGCCCAAAGAGAGCACCCAAGAGCGTTCCCAAGAGGGCATCGAGGGTCCAAAATCAATGATTTTTCTGAGGTTGTTCAATATGTTAAGTGTCCTCTACTTTTCGAGCTTCCGACGCTCCAAGGCGGCACAGGAGGCTCCAAGACCGTCCCAAGATTGCCCCAGTGGCCTCCAAGAGGGCCCCAAGACGGCCAAAGAGGGCCCCAGACGGCCCAAGAGGCGCCCGAGGCGGCTCAAAGTGCCACAAGACGGACCCAACAGCCAGAGGGGGGGAACACGAACCCAAAATCCGAGCCTTCCGCGCCAACATGCGCCCTGGAGGCCCCAAAAGGCTGCCAAGAGGCCCCAAGAGGCCCCAACGAAGCCCCCAAGAGGCCCCCTAGAGGCCTAGACGAGATCCCGACTGCCATCCAAGAGGCCTCAGACCCACAACCCAGACACGGTGGCACGATGGGCCGAAGGCCATTCGACCTGCTTGGCACGAGGACGGAAAGCGATTGTATTTTGCGAAGGCGCCAGATCGCTTTCGCAGTGTCCTGAAGCCCTCTTGGTGTTAAGACGTTGGTGCACATGCGAAAAGAACGGTGAACACAGCAAACCTGGCCGAATTCGATGCATGTGGCCTCTTCGGGCGCTCCTGCGAATGATGTTGGGTGTGTTTGGGGCCGCCTGGGGGCCATCTTGGGCCGTCCAGGGGCCCTCGGGGGGCTCCTCTGGGGGCTGCCTTGGGACCTTGCGAGGGTCTCCTGTGGCCCCTGGCCTTTGATGACCCTCTGGGGCCCCTCTTGCGCGGTCTTGGGGCCCTCTCGGGCCGTCGTCTGGCCGTCTTGTGGCCGTCGTTGGCGCCACTCGTGCCGTCTCGGGGCGATCATGGCGGCGTGCTTCGGCCGTCGTGGACGCGGTTAAGACCAAGGAAGCGGATATGCTATGCATGCGCGTGCTCCTCGAGTTGTACATCGTGGGCGTCCGTTTGGAGGCCTCGCGGAGCGTCTTGAAGGCCTTGTTGGCAGTCTTGAGGCCATAGTGGGCTCTCTTTGCACGCTCTTGGGCCGTCCTGGGGTCCCCGTGGGCCTCCCTGAGGCCGTGCTGGCGGTAGCTTCGGCGCGCGTGGGGTTGCCTTGGGGCTGTCTTAGGCCTTGGGCACGTTTACCTATGGATTTTACGTGTTGTTTTAACGTTTTGTTTCTTTCGCCTGTTTAACATGTATTTTCTCACGGTGAAGAGTCACCGTTGCTCTTGAGGGTCTTCGTGTTCAGAACCGTTCGCGGCACCGATCGCTATTGGGAGCCTTCGTGTTCAGAGCTTGCCACGCCACTATGGGGCCGCGGGGTCCCTTGGTGTTCAGAGCTTTGACGCCACCGCTCGCTCTTGGGAGCCTTGGTGCTAAGAAATGTGTACGTCACCGCTCGCTCTTGGAAGCCCTGGTGTTACGAGCTTGTCAAATCAATGTGAGCTCGTCCGGGCCTTTATTATCGGGTGTCTCCTGGCTGTCTTGGGGGTCCTCTTGGGGTCCTTTTTGGGTCGTGGCCGTGACCGTCTTGGGGCTTTCTTTGGGGCCTCGTGGGGTCTTCTTGGGAACCTCTCGGGGCCCACTGTGGGCTCTCTCGTGGGAGCCTCTGGGGGCCCTCTGGGCCCTCTGGGGCCGTCTGGGGGCACTCTTGGGGCACCTTGGGGCCCTCGTGAGGGGTCTCTGGGGCCGTCTTGGAGCGATCTCTGGGGCCTCTTGAACCGTCCTGCGTCGTCGGACGCATGAAAAAGCGAGAACCCTAACAGCCGCCACACACCTAAGGCAAATCAGTGTTGTTGGCCGCCTCAAGCCCTCTCGGGTGTCCTCTTTAAGGGCCTCTGGGGCCACCTTGGGGCCCTCTTGAACCGTCCTGGAGCCCTCTGAGGCCATCTTCGGACGCCAGTAGGCGGTCTGGGGCTCTCTCGGAGCGTTTGGTGCCGTCTCCGGGGGCCCCTGATGCAGTCTTCGAACGATCCTGGGGGCCTGTGGGGCCGTTGCCTGTGGTGGCCATTGAAGCAGATATGCTAAACATGCACGTTTGGCAAAGGGAGCGGGACGTTGTTTGCCTCTGGGGCGTCGTTTTGGAGGCCTCGTGGAGCGTCTTAAGGGCCTCGTTGGCCGTCCTGAGGCCATCCTGGGCCCTTTTTGCACGCTCTTGGGCTGCTTTGGGGCCCTCGTGGATCGCCCTGACCCCGTTGTGGCGGTAGCTTGGACGCTCTTGGGGCCGTCTTGGCCCGTCTTCGGGCCCTCTGAGGCGTTCTTGGGGCGGCCGAAAAAACTTGCCGCTAGACCTGTTGGGCACGGGGACGGCAAGCGCTCGTACTCTGTGAGGACGCGAGATCGCTTGCTCAGTGTCTTGGAGCTCTTGTGGGTTGAAGTCTTTGGCGCGTCATACGAAAACAATGAACATGGCCTGTCTGGGCCTTATTGGGATGCTTTTGAGGCTTCTTTGGACCGTCATGTAGCCCTGTTGGATGATCTTGGGGCCCTCTTGGGTCCGCCTTGCGGGGTTTTGCTGTCTCGGGGCCCTCTCGGGCTCCTCAGGGACCCTCTTGGCGATCTCCTGTAGCCCTCTTGGGATTCTCTTTGGAACTTTTTGGCCCGCTCGGGGCCCTCTCTTGGGCCTTCTTGGGGCTCTCTTGGGCCGTCGTGAAACCCTCGTGGGCCGTCTTGGGGGCCTATTATGCCGTCTTGGGGCGTTCCTGGCGGCCTCGTGGGCCGTCGTTGACGCTGTCAAGACCAGAGAAGCGTAAGTGCAATGCACGCTGTCCCAAGGGAGCGGGCCGAGAACTACCTATTGGGCATCCTTTTGGAGGTCGGTGCAATGGCGTAAGCCTCGTGAAGAAAAGGTGAGGTGGTGCGAGGGCAGGAGCCTGGAGGCAGGAGCCTGGAGGAATACTTTTGAAAGGGGAGTCGGGAGGACAGGGAGGAAGGGGGGTGCAGAGAGGCGGGTGAAAGGAGGAGGGGTGCGGGGTGGTGAGGGCGATGGGCTTGGCGATCGAGGTGGAAGGTCGGTGGGGGTGCACCGGGGGAGGGCAGGCGAAATAGCAA